TGTGACACCCCAAGGCGTTCTCCTACCACCTCACAAAATATCAAGGGGGGTCGTCGGAGGAAATTTTTTTTCGTAATAGAGCTCATATAAAGAGAATTTCACTCGCGGTCACTTTTTAGCCCTCGTCGAGGGCTTTGAGTGAAACCGACAGTTTTCCCTAAAGGTCAAGCCATTGACCTAAGCGTATGCAAAAATTTAGCCAGATATATTGAGTTTAAGTACCCTAAAGCCTGCGTTGAAATGACCCTCTGTTTTTCCAATAAAATACAAAGATTATATAGGGAAATACAACTGGTCAGTTTTGACCGCTTTACGAAGTTTTCCCAGATATGCCGAGTTTTTTGTGACACCCCAAGGCGTTCTCCTACCACCTCACAAAATATCAAGGGGGGTCGTCGGAGGAAATTTTTTTTCGTAATAGAGCTCATATAAAGAGAATTTCACTCGCGGTCACTTTTTAGCCCTCGTCGAGGGCTTTGAGTGAAACCGACAGTTATCCCTAAAGGTCAAGCCATTGACCTAAGAGTATGCAAAAATTTAGCCAGATATACTGAGTTTAAGTACCCTAAAGCCTGCGTTGAAATGACCCTCTGTTTTTCCCATAAAATACAAAGATTATATAGGGAAATACGACTGGTCAGTTTTGACCCATTTCCCGATTTTTCCCGGACATGGCGAGTTTTTTGTGACACCCCAAGGCGTTCTCCTACCACCTCACAAAATATCAAGGGGGGTCGTCGGAGGAAATTTTTTTTCGTAATAGAGCTCATATAAAGAGAATTTCACTCGCGGTCACTTTTTAGCCCTCGTCGAGGGCTTTGAGTCAAACCGACAGGTCTGCCCTACGGTCAAGCCATTTACCTATAAACATGCCAAAAATTAGCCAGATGTAAACAGGGTAAGTGCCCTAAAATCCGTTTTGAAATGACCCTCTGTTTTTCCCATAAAATACAAAGATTATATAGGGAATTACGACTGGTCAGTTTTGACCCATTTCCCGATTTTTCCCGGACATGGCGAGTTTTTTGTGACACCCCAAGGCGTTCTTCTACCACCTCACGAAATTTCAAGGGGGGTCGTCGGAGGAAATTTTTTTTCGTAATATAGCCCATATAAGGCGCCGGTCAGTCGAGGTCCGTTTTGACCCCCTCTCCGTAGACTTTTCGGCCAACCGTCACCGGCCTTCGTGTTCTATAGCCGGAAGGCACCATCGTGCCAAATTTGACGCGCCTGCGGCGCCGGGAAGTGCCCTATCGGGCACCTGACCACTTTGCTTTATATATATAGATAGAGTTACATGACTAAAAACCATTGCGCGCCCACTGAACATCACGTTCAGTAGGCGCGCAATGGTTTTTGAACGCAGCCATTGAAGCTATTGAAGGTGATGACGCGTGTGGTGTGGTTGGCTAGACATGCCTACTAATTCGGTCCAAATTTTAATTAATTCATAAAACATTAATTAGGCATCCAATTAAGTCAAATTTAGTTTCAGATTGCATTGTCTTTATGTCTTGACCCACGTGCCAACTGTGAATCGTATCGGTCAAGTAGAACTGCCCGAATTTTCACTCCTGCGTTTCCATCTAGACAGACTGTCGACAGACTGTCGACAGAGGAAGTGAGTTAAATAAAAGCTTGTAAAAATATATGTAACCACTCACTTCCCCCATTGGCGGAACTAGAAAAAAAAAGACTCCCCCGCAAAAAAAAAATAAAAAATTCGGGCACCAATTTACATAGCCTATAAATTAGTTTGTATGTGTATGTGTGTGTGTGTCTGTATATCTGTATATCTGTATATCTGTATATCTGTATATCTGTATATCTGTATATCTGTATATCTGTATATCTGTATATCTGTATATCTGTATATCTGTATATCTGTATATCTGTATATCTGTATATTCTGTATATCTGTATATCTGTATATCTGCATATCTGCATATCTGCATATCTCCTTATCTGCATATCTGTATATCTGTATGTCTGTCTGTCTAAAAATATTCTAAAGTACCGATAACATAAGTGCCGTTTTGGAGGTCTTTATCTTTTGATTCCTTTTGAAGCATTTCCGATGACAGAAATTAGTTTAGTTTGAATACAACAGTTCTACACACATTATTTATCGCTAAATCTATTTCTCCTTCCCCTCTCCAACAAGTAAGCCTTGCCTTTTTTCATGTTCTTTACGTCATACACTAGAGGCGTAGCGACCCTTCTCGGCGACCGGGGACAAACTTTCGGTTTGCACCCCCCTCAAGATTTCGATTTGCCACCCCCCTCAAACTTTCGATTTACACCCCCCCCCCCCCTCAAGATTTCGATTTGCACCCCCCTCAAATTTTCGATTTATTTTTCCAACCTATTTTGGCGCCCCCTAAGGTCGGTGCCCGGGGACATATGTTCCCCCCGCCCTCCTCGCTGCGCCTCTGCATACACCCATCGTTCACTTGCGTCATTCTAGTTATTCGATCATAACAAACACATCAAGTATATAGATCTATATAGCATTACTCTAATTCACTACACGATCCCCAATAGCACATATACAAGCATAGCCTTAAAACGAATTTAATCAAATCATCTGCCTAACCTATTTCTACCGTTAGTCCGGTCACGTGTATTGTCTACCCTTACGTAAACATATCTACACCCTCACAAACAAGGCTTAGTTTATTGACAATGCAATCACATTAGCAGTGACGAGAAAAACAAACAATTTAAATTGTCAACAGGAACGATCGGGTCCCTATCAGTAAACTTGGCAGAAGGGGGGGGGGGTGGTGGTGTTAAGAAAGTGTAAGTAATTAGCACCAGTGGCGTAGCGAGGTCGGGTGTCACCCGGTGCGGCACTTAATGGTGTCACCTCCCAGAGGCATAGCGACCCTTCCCGGGGACAAACTTTCAACTTTCGATTTGCAACCCCCCCCCCCTCAAACTTTCGATTTGCACCCCCTCCCCCTCAAACTTTCGATTTGCACCCCCCCCCTCAAACTTTCGATTTGCACCTCTTAAAAGACTATTTAACATTCGTATTAATCACTTAATTAAGTGGAATTATCATTTTTCTCTATATATTTTGCTATTTTTTGCCTTGGTGTCACCCCCCCCCCCCCCAAATGGTGTCACCCGGTGCGGTCCGCACCCCCCGCACCCCCTCGCTACGCCTCTGATTAGCACTCCTACATAACTTTCAATGTTTCTTTTGGGCATATGTATATCTCCCTTGGGAGAGTTAGAGGGGAGGCATTGCTCACATGGAGAAGATATAGGCATGTTTTAATTATTCCCCACCCCCGGAAGTTTCGAATGCTCACATGGAGAAGATATAGGCATGTTTTAATTATTCCCCACCCCCGGAAGTTTCGAATGCTCACATGGAGAAGATATAGGCATGTTTTAATTATTCCCCACCCCCGGAAGTTTCGAATGCCCTCCCATCACGAGAAAACAGTAGTTATTTTCAAAGGCGTAGCTACACAGGGGTCATCCATAAATGACGTCACGCTTTTTTTGGACGATTTTTACCTCCCCCTCCCCTACGTCACACGTCGTCACAAAAAGCCAGACCCCCCCCCTGACGTCACACCTAGTCAGCCTTTTAAAATATCGATATTTTTCGAAAATCTTGTCTGAACTCTGTCAAAATATAGTATTTTAATCAATTCCTATTACAATTTATTAAAACAGTTTTCTATAACGCGAATTAACGTCTAAAGTTCGTTTTCTAACATTGCTTTTTTATAATGTTTATAATGCAATGCAAAAGTGTGACGTCGCACCAACCGAACCCCCTCATCACACACCGTCACAAAATTACGGACCCTCTCCCCCTACGAGTGTGACATCATTTATGGACGACCCCAGAATCCGGCGCCCGGCATGAACTATTGATTTTGCACCCCCACCACATTAATATAGGCCTATACTTATTCACTGAAAAAGCACCATCAACTAATTTGGAAAGGTCGGGGACCATAAGATGCAGAGGCGTAGCGAGGGGGGGGGGGGGGTTGCGGACCGCACCGGGTGACACCATTTAGGGGGGGGGGGGGTGACACCAAGGCAGAAAATAGCAAACCATATAGAGAAAAATGATAGTTCCACTTAATTAAGTGATTAATTCGAGTGTTAAATAGTCTTTTAAGAGGTGCAAATCGAAAGTTTGAGGGGGGGGGGGGGGGGGTGCAAATCGAAAATTGAAAGTTTGTCCCCGGGAAGGGTCGCTACGCCTCTGGGGGGGGGGGGTGACACCGTTAAGTGCCGCACCGGGGGGGGGGGGGGCGAAGGCGCCCCGAAGAAAATCTACCGCCCCCCCCCCGAACGAAATAGAATTTATATAGAAAGTATATATTTTTAATTTAACAGTGTCCGCCGCCCCTCCCCACCCCGGAGCAGTGTTTCTTCCAGACTTTTTTCTCCGGGGGGGCACTTGAAATCTTCGGGGGGGCGGTAAACTTTCTTCGGGGGGGCGGAGACTGTTAAAAGTATATATTTTCTATATAAATTATATAAATTTCATTTCGTTCGGGGGGGCGGTAAAAATTTTTCGGGGGGGCTTTGCCCCCCCCCGAAGAGATGCCTGGAAGAAACTCTGCCCCGGAGAAAAAAGTCTGGAAGAAACACTGGATGTTACTGTCCCTTTTAACAATTTTCATTTAGGTTTCACCCTAACCCTAAGGCCTAAGCCTACTTTTTAACTTAACTTAGACAAACTGGAAATCTGCGGCTTAATTTTAATACTATTCCTTTAATCGAAACCTAGGCCTAGTCCCAATTATTAAATGAGAGTTATGATTATGCCTACATACTACATGAGATTAAGAAACGACTAGACTAAGGGCCTAGTGCTAATTTTAAAATATTTTAAATGCCAATTTAGCACAGGCCAATCGTGTAGCTGCTATTTTTAGTTAATGGAAACTCCCCTCTGAAGTAGCCCAGGTTAGGGTAGGCCCAGCATACGATTCCGGAAGTCCGCGTAGGATATTACTTCTCTGGGAAAAACTTGACTTATCTACATTCTAGAATAGAGCCTATCTTATACTTATAGAATCTAGATCTTATAGATCTATCTATAGATCTAGTTGTATATAGTTATTAGATCTAGATCTATACACAAGATTGTTTATCCTGCACTACTAAGCGACACGTTATTTAGATCCAGATCTACTACAGTACTCAGCACATACTCCTAAGTTAGGAAATGTGAGTTGAGTGAGTGAGTCTAACTCTAATCAACTTTTTATTACTTTTTAAAGTGAAGTTACTAAAGTTAGTAGATTCTAGACCATTAGTTATTTCATTAGTTAATAGTTAATAATACTTAATTAATAAGTTATTCAACAATCGCCAATCACAGTTGAATCAGTGATAGTTTCACTGTACTGTCTGTAGCTGTAGATTCTAGTAGTAAGTATATCTAGTGAGTAATGAGTAAAATCTAGCTAGAGTACTGTTACTAGATCTAGAGCTAATCTAAAATCTAATAGTAATAATAGTAGGCCTACTAGTTAGTTATTAACTAGCATAATAGTACATTTAATTTAAATCTAAAATTGTGGCAGCTGTGGTTGAAGATTTAGTTAGACTCTATGGGATGATGTTAAGAATGGACCCTTTGAAATCCGGACCTATTGTTCATATTTTTCCATTGCAGTTTTCCCAAGTTGTTTTTTCTCTTAGCAAAAATCTAAAGGCGGTGTCTTTTTTCTCACTGCAATTATGTCAGCATTCACGTCAGAAATGAAAAAAAAACAACGAAAGTAACTCTTTCATGATAAACAGCAAAAAATAAGATTTGGACAACACAATAAATGTTATGGTTTGAAAGCACTTGTTGGGTTTGAACCCGCAACAACCAGCATGACTGCAACACACATGTACACTCTACCACACAGTTTCATGCATAAATAGGTGTTTTTATCATTAAATTATAAAAAAACAGTCATGACTGTGAATAGCCCTAATGAGTTCTCCTTCGGCTTTGATAGATAACCATGCATTCTTTTTCATTTACCAACAGGAAATGTGCAACAACAATGAGAGGTTGTAACAACTAAAAGTAAAAAAGAAACAGTAAAGACATTGACTTTGAAAAATGGCTGATTCTCCAGACTGGAGAGAATTTCTTGATCCTTCTCATTATGATGTACCCTTACATGCCTTGAAATATACAGCCTGTCGAAAGCTGGCAAATTATTTGGATGCTGATGCGATGGTGCGCGATGATTTTGTTCCTAATTTTGGAGGTCTTGCTGAACTGATATCATTCGATGGATTAGAGATAATGGTAGGAAAATGAAATGTTTTGCACACTGAGTAGATGTTGCACAAAATATGTCAATAATACTGGAGCATTGGGGGTGGGTCCAAAAAAATGTAGTGTGAAACTGATTTTAAAAAGGGGTCGGCATGGTTGAGTCAGTAAAGCTCATGGTTGCTAAACCGAAAAATCTGGAGTTTGAACCCTCTGGCAGATGAGTCTCGTTAGCTGGGGACAGCAACTCTTCTAGGAGACAACTCCAAAATTAAACAACTGCTGCCTTTTAGTTTGTTCTTTGTTGGACAAAGGCTATGGAAGCAATCCGAAAAGAAAATCAGGCTGAAATCGGATTCATCCGCCTATATGGGGGGCATAACCAGTTGTCACGTAATACTAATTGTCTTGAAGGGAATCCCTCCACCACTAGAATTAAGAATGAAGAAGATTAAAAAAGTAAATAAATAAAATTATTGTGAATCTCTTTGATATATGTTAGTGTAGTGTTGTGAAACTTAATGCAACAAATCAAATGTGCAGCTTAACTACAATTTGTATGGTAAGTGTAGATTATTAATATCTTACCTTATTTTCGAATGTTTCTACATTGGAGGTTCATACAACTAGTTTAACATTGCAGACAAACTGCACAATAGTATCCAACTTGGCAGGCGTCTCTATAATTTTTCTCTGACTGGAGCCTGAGTCTAGACTGTCTGTTGGTACATAGTGCAGTATTGTAAAACATGTTTTCTGGGGACATACCACATGAGCATCCTTCACTCAATGTACTTAAAATGCTGTTTTTATTACATGCAGCAGCCTTAGATCTTAAAGTTCTTTATTTATTGCCAAAATACAAAAATAGGTTAAATATTTCTGATATTTTTCACCCCTAAAGGCTTTCGAAAGAGCAGACAGCCCTACACTGAAGTTGATTGAAGACTGGAGAAACCGTCCTGATTTAAAACCAACAGTTGGAAGACTTGTTGAGTTTCTTGTAAGATTGGGCAGAGAGGATGTCCTCACGGATTTAAGAAATTTGATTGGTAAGTTTGTTATGTGTTATGTCATTCTTTCAAGGTTTGATTTAAGTTCTGACTAATTTATTTCTTGAGTACCAATTAAAAAACTTTTCAGATTTTATGATTGCTCGGAGACTTGGAGGGTTACAAAGACGAATACTGATAGGCTACAGGCATTCGTAAACAAATGCTTACGACATATAATATACGTTAAATAAGATGGCCAGACAAATATCAACAAAGACCTGTGGCAAATTTTAAAGCAACAGCCAATAGAGAAAGATAAATGGGGATGGATCGGACACACATTAAGAAAAGAAAAAGAAAACATCACAAAACATGCGTTGGACTGGAATCCCCAGGGAAGACATGGAGAAGAACGGTTGAAGAAGAGGCGAAAACAGCTGGGCTCACATGGGCACAGATTAGGGGAGCAGCCCAAAACAGAGTCTGCTGGAGATGTGTGGTTGCAGCCCTTTGCTCCCCAGGGGCCACAAAGGAATGATGATAAATAAAATAAATTAATTTCTTAATCTGTGTTATTGCTGGTCAGCATTATGCTAAGGACGGGTGGACTCTGGAACATGTTATTGAGATGAGTCTGGGAACTTAACTCAAGACTTTTGGTCTAGCTGTTGTGTGCTCCACCATTTGACCACACTCTCCCAGTACCATGAGTTAGATTTAAGCAATTGAAGTTTTGTTTACTGTTTTAAATTTTTAAAATATTTTAGGAATTCAAGTTTTTGTTAGTGTAAAACTATTAAAATATTTTCTCCACTGACATTTATTTCTTTACAGATCGAGATGTTTTAGATTTTCTTAATAGACCTGATAGGTTCAACAGAATTGGACCAATACAAGATGAAACTGGTAAATTACTTTATTACAACTTTTAAATTTTTTTTTTGGCAAATTAATAACAAGAAAATAAGATAAAAGGAAAAGTTTATTTGAGATCAGAACCAAACACCATAATTAAGTAAATATCAGGCTAATTATCACCAAACACCATAGTTAAATAATTACTACAGTAATCCTGTAAAGCAGGGGTCTCCAAACTACGGCCGGCGGGCCGGGTGTGGCCCGCTAAGTCCTCTCATCCGGCCCGCAGAGATTTTTTTGTCCAAGGAAAAATCGTTTGTTGGTGATGGCTGAGGAACTTTGCCCAGAAAAATCAAAGACATACCTGGAAGAAACTGGCCCCCGAACTGAAATTTGATAGTTAATGCGGCCCTCGGACTAAAAAGTTAGGAGACCCCTGCTGTAAAGTTATCATATGATATTTTTTGTTTGTTTCAGTTACGCCTGGCCCTGGTATTGAACAGACCCCTGTTTTTATAACTAGGCAGGATGGTAAGTATTTTTAGTGATGGGTGGTAGATTTATTTGTAACTGGACTAATTGGAGAGTAAGGCATACAAAATTATGAAGGGTAGAATCAGTTTGTATTGGTGGTAGACAATGTTTTGAGAGTATTTGATGTTTAATTTACTTGATAGATTGTGTCTATGTAAGTATGATGGGATGAGTACAGAATAGCTTAGGAGATAACACAATGCTTTTGTTTGTTACAATCCATTTGGAGACTTTTTACCATGCTTAATTTTTATCTCTTTAGTGCTAGAGGGTAGACAGACTATCTATGATGCATTTATTTGTTACAATCCATTTAGAGACTTCTTACTTTTATTTCTTTAGTGATAGAGGGTAGACAGACTATCTACGATGCATTTGTTTGTTACAATCCATTTAGAGACTTCTTACTTTTATTTCTTTAGTGATAGAAGGTAGACAGACTATCTACGATGCATTTGTTTGTTACAATCCATTTAGAGACTTCTTACTTTTATTTCTTTAGTGATAGAGGGTAGACAATCTATGATGCATTTGTTTGTTACAATCCATTTAGAGACTTCTTACTTTTATTTCTTTAGTGATAGAGGGTAGACAATCTATGATGCATTTGTTTGTTACAATCCATTTAGAGACTTCTTACTTTTATTTCTTTAGTGATAGAGGGTAGACAATCTATGATGCATTTGTTTGTTACAATCCATTTAGAGACTTCTTACTTTTATTTCTTTAGTGATAGAGGGTAGACAGACTATCTACGATGCATTTGTTTGTTACAATCCATTTGGAGACTCAAGCAAGGATTTGGAGTTTGTTCAAAAGATGATCGCAAGACTTGAGGGCCCAGATTATAAATTTAAACTGTTTGTACCCCACAGAGATGATTTAGTGGGATTAAACGAGCACAACATCAATGCCACCATTATATCTGAGCGGTAAGAATAGATTTAGTGGGATTGAACTACCACATAATCAATGCCTACATTTTGTTAGTGGGGGGTTAATCAGCCATTACATCACTCCCAAGATTATATCTCAGGAGTAAAAATATTTATGGTACAGCTAGTACTGTGTAAAAAAAACCCTTATATAAAGGTTATATCAGTTAATTTATTTAGGCTCAGAAAGTACATTTATTTTGAGTAATTTTCTTTTGTTAATCTTAAAACTTAAAAATCATTTAACTCTCGCTACATTTGACAAGTTTTGATGGAAAAAAGCAGCGGAAATAAAACAATTCTTGTAATTGTTTGAGACGTAACACACTTAAGCTAAAATCATATCCTCCCTGGAAAAATTATATTTTACTAACATACAATTTATGCTTGTTATTGTATTTTCTTTAAAGCATCAATCAATCATCCCTTAACTCTTCTTGGGGTAGTTGGGGCACCACTGATGTTTTTCTCCTAATTTTCCACCATCTATCTCAGTCCTTTGCTGCTATGTAAGTAAAGTTTCCCTTTCAAACCTGACGGTCTATGGGGCAAGTGAAATTGAGTTCACTTGTTTCTGTGACCTCGGCATATGAAGAGATAGTGTGGTCAGCACTATGCCCAGCCGCCTTTACTTTCCCTAACATGAGTTAGGTACCCATCAGAGTTGGGTGGACTCAAGGACAGTTTACTGACTTGAACCCGGATTCGAACTCGAGACTTATGGGTTAGCAGTCCAGCTCTCTACCGCTAGACCACTCCTTCCCATTTTGCTGCTATGAGTAGTTCTGAAACAGGCTGCTCAGTTCAATCTTTGATGTCATCCTTCCAGTGACATCTCTGCCTTCCCACTCTTTTCCCTCCTGGATCATTGCCTTGAATAATTGTTTTGGATAGGCCCTTGGTTTGTGTGACATGCCTATACCATCTCAGCTTTCTTGTTTTGACTATGCTCAGTAGACTCAAAAGGACCAATTGCACTAGTGATCCTTTCACTGACTTCTTCATTTACAAATTAAATAAAAACATGAGTTCAGTTTACAAGCTCTATTGTTTTGTGACTTCAGATTTAAAGGAGTATTAAAATGTTTTCAGATGTCGGCACATGATTGTGGTTTTAAGCCCCAACTTCCTGAAGAGTGAGGCGTGTGAGTTCCAAAGTACTTTTGCACATGCTCTGTCACCAGGTAATAACATTTGTTTATAACCTTGTGAAGACACTATTTTAAAATGTAACCCTTCACTCTCTATAATATAAGTATCTCATCATTAAAATGTAATTAGTAAGTAATGTTCACATAACTTTCTCATATCATAGAGATGCTAAATTCTTTTAATTAAATGCGGTCAGGTGCCAGAAACAAGCGAATTGTTCCCATCAAGATTGAGGAGTGTGAAATGCCGAACATTCTGAGAATTATGGCTTGCTGTGACTTCACTAAAAAAGATTTGTGGGTCTGGTCCTGGGACAGGCTAGCAAGATCAATCAGCATTCAGCTCAGCTCAGATGACTTTCAGGTATGGGATAGGTTAGGTCATGAGGTTAGAGTTTGTATAGGATTATTGTAGACTTTCAGGTATAGGATAGGTTAGGTCATGAGGTTAGAGTTTGTACAGGATTGTTCTAGACTTTCAGGTATGGGATAGGTTAGGTCATGAGGTTAGAGTTTGTACAGGATTGTTCTAGACTTTCAGGTATGGGATAGGTTAGGTCATGAGGTTAGAGTTTGTACAGGATTATTCTAGACTTTCAGGTATGGGATAGGTTAGGTTTGTACAGGATTATTCTAAGGTTCTCATCTGTTAGAATATTGAGCTCAATGGTATGAGATAATGAGGTTAGAATTTTCAAGTTTGTACTTGATCTTTCAAAGTTTCTTTGCTTTTAGAATATTTGAACCCAATGGTATTAGACAGATGTATCTTTTGGTTCAGTGAAGTATTCAGTTACCTGCAGTATTACTAGACAGTCAGTACATACATATTTATCTTCATTCATAATTTTTCCTTTTAAAAAAAGTAATTTCAATATTTTTTTCAGCTGACAAGCTCCCCAAGTCTTGATGGGCTTTTGAGGCCCAACAGCTTTCACTTGCCTGGAGCAACACCATCCCCATCACCATCTCAAGACTCAGGGTTTTCTAGTCTGCCAGTATGTCTATTGTAATTTTTTTAGCCTGTTCAATATAACCGTCCTAATGTTCACATTATTTGGTGGACAGTGTACAAAACTCTATGGACAGGAGAAAGACAGGTAGTTGTGTAATATTTATTGTGGCAGGGCATGATTTTATCCACACAATCCTTCAAAGATAAAAATTACTATACCTGTGCAATGAAACTTTAAGAATGAAAAGGTTGAGAGTATTAACACTTCCTTATCCCAGTGGTTCAGATACCAATGATAAATAGCCTTAAATCTCATGTGTATCAAAAGTTAATTGCACGTAGGTAAAATCCACTTTTGTCAAGTTTGCTCGAAATTCATTTTGTTATTATATTTCACCGTTAAACTTAAGAATATAAATAATCCAAATACTTTAAAATCTGAGAGATTAATTATAACATATTTACTTAATCAGAAAATTGGGTTAACCTAGATTTGTATAAACACTAATTTAGTCCCTTCTTCACACAGATTTTCCCATCCAACAGTAGATCAGACTCTCCAGTGACAGCAAGGGCAGAATTATCAGGTATTTTTAGCAAATATATGAGTAATATAAATAAAAAGATCTACTAAAAGTAGGTGGGGCATTTTAGTTTGCTATTCTTACATTATGTAGAACATGTTAGGTAATCAATGAAGGCAAAATGTCATATTATTTTACAACTAGTCTACTGAGTTGTTTTAAGTATGTAACCCAATTCAGTTACATTTATTTAAAACAATTTTCCAGAACTTTAAGACTTGAGGCATACTTTGTAGTGTTAAAACAAGGAACTTTTTTAAAAATAATGAATAAAGTTCAATTATTATACAAGTTTCACACTATACACATATAGATTCTAAGAGATTTTCAAGCAAGGTTTCTTTCAAACATTTTACTTCCATTTAAATCTAATATTTCATCGGAGTGATAAAAGTAACACATTTTCCATTTTTTGTCAGTGAGTTTTGGATAACTTCAAATTATGAACAAGTAAAAATAAAAGCCTAGTGAAAAAATGTTCCCACAAAATGTATGCCATTCTGCCTGATGAAATGGTAAGAAATAAATTCTTTTGTTCCTTATTTCTAGAATCTTCCTCTTCCAGCTCTCTGACCATGGAGGTTGAGTCACAACCCAAGACTTCAAGTGAAAGCAGGATCAAAAAGTTTTTTAACGTTAGAAAGCGCAAGAAGAAGGAACCTAGCTAATTATTTTGTTGAATTTGCTTGTAATTTAAAATGTTTTTTACTGCTGGAAAGTGCAGGAAGAAAGAACCTCGCTAACTTTTTTTAAATGCTTGTAATTTATTAGAAGTGTTTTTTCTTCTGGAAAATGCAGGAAGAAAGAAACTAGCTTTTCCTTTTTATGCCCAAAACACATTAGGCCGCCACAGAAAGCTCCCTCCTCTTTTGTCTGCCTCTAGCAATTTTCCAGGCAGTACTCCAAGACAGTCCTGCCTGTTTCCCCACCATGCACCTCCACATCTCCCTTGGCCTTCCATTTTTTTTTCTATGAGGGGTCCAGTTTAGCATCATATATGCGATATCATTTAGATTCATTCTTAACGTGCTATTTTGTTGAATGCTTGTAATTTTTAAAAAAAAAATTTTTGTAATTAAAAAGTTGCATCAATTTCTAAAATAGATACCTTTTGTGCTGTGATAAAAGAATTCTGTGCTGTTTGTTTTCTTTTGTTGACATATTTTATTTTGTCAACAATTGGTTAACAGAACAGAAAAAAATATACATCTATTTTGATTGACTGTGTAACCGTAATTGTGACGTTTTGTGATACTTTTTTCTTTCTCTAAAAATGCCTATTTTACTTTAAAATAGTTCTTGATTGATGAAACAATTAACTTGTTAAAGTTTGCTATAAACAAGAGCAGTCTTGTGATGTTTGTGTACATAAATTACAAGGTCTTCACTCCTTTAATGTATTGTAATTAGCGCATCATGTAATGACAGTTGTACATTTTGAAAAAAGCTCTGAGTATTTTATAGAAAGTTTAAATGACGTATTCTTGTCAGAAAAAAGTCACTTTTCATGAGTATTTTGATGTAAATGCTGGTATTATACTTTAAATACTTTTAGTATTCTTGTTTGAGTATATTACATTGTAAAAGATCACACCATGCATATCTAATCTAGAATTATAATTCATCAAATTTTAAACTATTTTGAAGTTATCTAAAATGTCTATACACAGCTCGCTTTTTTGGTGATGGCCTATACATTCATGAATCTCTTCAGTAAAAAAATATTTCCATGTTGCGTCATTTTTTTTAAAAACAATAATGGATAAACCTTGTAAATACACTAGATTGAAGGAGCAAACAAACTCTTGATCTATCTTAACTTCTATCAAAAGTTGAAAAGTTATGATTCTTAGCTCCAGTATGAATTTATATTGTTCATAGTTTTACTGACTTTACATTCTACTGCTGTGTAATATTCTGCTAAATCATGAACTTTTAGTTCATTTTTATTTACAACAATAAGGCTATATACATTTTGCTATGCAAAGACTTTTTTGTATAAACTGTTGAAAACTGAAATTGCACTGCTGATTAATATTAAAATCTGTAAAAAGAATATTTTCTGATTTGTATAAATGGCTTTTTTTTTAATTAAATGAAAAATTGTCTATTGGATCACATGTTTAACAAATGTTTCTCAAAATCAGTTTTTCAACAATCATGTAATTATTTAATTCAATTCAGTAGTACCATTGCCAAAACATAAAACACTATTAACCAGCTTCATTAAGCAGGCCCTCAAAATGAAGAAACAAAAATGTGTAACTTAATCAGGAAAATTTGTTAAATGCAAAGGAGTTACTTATTTACTTTTAAATATCCATATCTGTCTTTTTAAACTTGAGTTAACATGAGCAGACAAGCAGCTTACAATTCAAAATTTATAACCAAAATAAATTTTATTATCATGAAAGCCCACATATGAACAATTTTTATACATCAAAACCTTTATGAATAATGCCCACCAATATGTACACAGATATGTTCTTATAAGGTAACAACTGTTTTGAAACAACAAGGGAACATCTTCAAGAGTTTAAACAATTAAATCCAGCAGGGCCTCACATTTATTTTAAAGTGTCTCATAATCTCCCTTGAACTTTAAAAGCATTGTTCATGAGGCTTAAACAAGTTTGTTAAATAGTTTAAAAAACAAGACACTAAAATGTAATAATTACATCCAATAATGTCCTTAAACATTTGATGTTAATCTTTTTTTTTAGAACAGAGTCCAAATATTGTTGGTACACCAACAGTAAGTAAAACAATGGTGAAGGAATGTTTAAAAAATGCTAAAACATAAAACAGAAGCATGTTGTCTTGGCTAGGTTTTAGCCTGTCTGTGACGAGAACCAGTAACAAAGAAATTATTATTTGTGCAACTACTCGAAATATACTTTCAGACTTTTCTTGCTTAGGGCCCAATAAAGTGACTGCTATACCCAGGCCTGAAAGAGAAAAAACAAGAGCCACTTAAAGCTGAAACCAAAACTATTGTCCTATAGGAAGGGTGATTATGGGGAATAACTAAAACTGTACTTCCACCATCTGCTACCCACATTTGCTGCATTTTAAAATTAGGTTTTTGATTAAAAAAATGTATTTGGAGGAAGAAAATTAAGCCGCGTATTTATCCTTGCAATGCCAAACTGCATAGTTCATTTTACTGATTTAAATCATGTAAATCAGCCCTTCTCACTTTTGAAAATAATACAACTAACTTCACAATGAGATGTTTTTTAATATTTATAATCTCTAACTACCTACTGTAATTCAAATTGATAAGGTAGCTCTCTTAAAATAGATCAAGTTAAAAACACATTGTATTTCTGTGACTTACCAATCAAACTAGAAACATCCCGAATAATTGAATAAAATAAAGTTGTGTCCTGATGCACCCATTCTCGAAATGCACACCATTTTAGAGCCACCTGAACAGACCACATGGGATCAACGCCAAGAGCTAGCACCAGAATGTAGGTGGCAGCAGCTACAGCTGATAAAACTAATGATGCCAGAACATAATGGTGCCAGACCAGGGATGAGATAGAGATCGAGTTGAGTATCTTTCCTAAGAGAATTCCTGTAGAGAGTATTACAATATTGGTAAGGTTCACATTTTCTTGAGTAAAATTAATATAGACACAAATGACAGCCCACCAGCTAAAATAATTACTGGTGGTAATTACATTCCTATACAAAGCTTTATATATATGCCAAAAGGAAAGCAATTAACATTAAATCAGGTGCTGTTTTATTAAGGCAGGCAGGAGGTGAGCACATATTTGTAAATAAGTTGCTATTTATAGTAGTAAGGGAGGCAATATTGAACTGTAAATAAAGTATGGTTTATGGTAGTAAAGGAACACATTTAACTGAAAATAAGGAAAAGTTTCAAAGTGCTGTAGACACTAGTTAAAGATCTGATCATTTATATGACCAATCAAGTTATCAATTATGATAAAATCTGTAAAACAACCCAAAAAAAAACAAAACAAAACAAAGTAATACAGTTAGATCTAAATAAAATTTACTATTTTAAAAAGTGTAATTGCAAAATTTTACTTCGTATTTTTGAAAATTGTTAAAAAAAACTATTGTGCCATAAACAATGTCATCTGAAACTATGTCCATTTTAGTAAAACTTTATCCATTTTAAGAATGTTACACACTTTAAGTGAGAATGGCTAAGGTTAAGATTTATAAAATAATCTCACCAACAAATACACCAGCCAGCACTTGATGAGGGAAATGTGTTGCAACAAACAGGCGGGAAACACAGACAGAACACATAAATAAAAGATAACCAATCCAAAACAATGATTTAGCTAAAATACTGGAAAAGGAACAATACATGTTAGTTTAGTTGTTATGTTAGGAGAAATTGTTAGTTCAGGTTAAAAACTATATTGTTTTGGGATAGATATAATATATTTAAATTTTCTTTTAAACTTTCCAAGTATAAAAAAAAATGACTAAGTCGAATAGCAGCATTTATTTTCAGAAATCTTTTTCTTTGTCATTTATATCTTATGACTAATTTAATTTAGAGACCAACATGTGAACTGGTTGAAAAGTGTTTTAAGTATTCTATTTCACCTCAATGAATCTAAACATCTGATAACACATAGCTGCATATACACCTGGCTTTTATTTCACTAGCTTTTTTTAAACATGAAGGAAGTTCAATTAGGCTTCAATGTTACTTGATCTTAAACACTAGTTTCTATAATAATTAAAGGGAACAAACCTTTGCACTTGTTTGTAGTACAAAAAGTCGGAGATCAGGATGTACCAGACAGCTGATGTGATCATTGCATGACCAGATGGACTTCCTGTTTGTTGAAATAAATTCAGAATAAAATACTTAAAAAAAACTTTTTAAAAAACCATGTTTTTCTTGTGGACTAAAACGTAGAAAATAACTATTTACATACATTTGATGACAAAAAACGTGGGTCGGGCAGATGGGTCGGGAAATTTGATGGTGAACGTACCCACGTTTTTTGTCATCAAATGTATGTAAATAGTTATTTTCTACGTTTTAGTCCACAAGAAAAACGTGGTTTTTTAAAAAGTTTTTTTTAAGTATTTTATTTTCTCCTTTTTAGTCCGTTGCTACACATGAAAAACGTGGTTTTTAAAAAGTTTTTTATATAGTTTATTTTCTACTTTATCTAATCACTTGATTAAGTATGACTTGACTAAGTGTTTTTAAATACACGGACTAAAAAAATCTTGAGCGACCGATACGCTTTAAACAGAGAAAGGGTGTAATTTACGTTGCTGGCGTGGAGATCTACTCACGAATCACGTGATCAAATCTCCCATAAACAAACAAATAAACGCGAAGCTGAGTTAAGGAAAAACGTGTTTATGTGTATTTTTGAATGCCCAGCGTACCAACCGTGTCACCGTTAACAATGTGTTACCGTGTCCGTTCTCCTTTTTAGTCCGTTGCTACACATAAAAAACGTGGTTTTTTTTTAAGTTTTTTTTAAGTATTTTATTTTCTCCTTTTTAGTCCGTTGCTACACATGAAAAACGTGGTTTTTAAAAAAGTGTTTATAAATACACGGACTAAAAATCTTGAGCGACCAGGATTCGAACCTGGGTTGTCGCGGCCACAACGCGAAGTACTAACCACTATACGATCACGGCCAGCGCGCTCACATCGATTGGGGCCGAAGTAACTGTGTCAATAGGCCTCGAGTCTTGTCGGTATCTTTAGAAATCATGTCCTCAATTTTATGGACCTTGGGGCGTAATTAAATTAAGCTAATTACGGTCACTAATTGCTAGTTTTTATGATTGCATCTGAAATTGTTAGGCGAAAGTAGCATGCATGCCAAATTTCAGGTCTCTAGAGCAATCAAAAGTGGGCTAATTTTCGATGTCAATTTTAACAACAAACATCCAAACAACCAAACAAACAAACAAACGCGAAGCTGAGTTAAGAAAAACGTTTTAAAAACTAATATTAAATATAAATGTAGCTGCAAAATAGAATAAAGTTAATAACATAAGTGTTCATTTAACAATTACAAATTTAGTTGTTATAAACAAGATGCTTCTAATAATCTATTATGGGCATATTCAGTGATCTAATTTATTTGTGCTGTAATTGTTCTTGTTGATTACAATAATTTTTTATAATACTTCTATAACTACAAATCTGCACAAGGAATAATGAAGTAGAAGAAAATTAATATATTAAAAAGCGTGACTTGTTGAGATCGCCAACTGCATACTCTAGGAGACAATGCTGTTCACTCACCTGGTCCTGTTTCACAGGTTATGTTGTATTGCCTCAGGTAGGGCATTTTTTCTTTGCTGTAAGCCCCAGATTCATGAATCCACCAATATGGGCGCTCACCATGGAAGAGCCTATAATGATAAAAAGATAGATTTTTACAGTTGTACAGTCGCCAAAAATAAATAATTATTGATGCTAAAAATATTGGAACTAAAGTGACGAGTGGCCATTGCTCAGAACTATTTAAAAGCAAAAATATGTACATTTCCTAACAATGATGTAAGCAGTGAGGGGTGGTGGGTTCCGATGTTTTTTTTATCACAATTAAATTGTAGTTTTATGAAATTTCAAAATCTTAAACATATAAAGGATGCAGGTGGGGGGGGGGGGGGGGGGGTTGTGTTGCTGCCAGCACTACTGCATACTACACTTGCGATTTATCTTTTTACCACTTGGCAATAGCATTGAGCCACTCAGAAACAGCTGCAACCCAAAGTACTCTTTTGCCGACCGTTGAGTGTAGAAAATAGGCAACAGGAAAATAAAGCGTGAAAGCAAATCTTGGATCCCCTAAATTTGATAAGAGAAGCATCATCCCATCATAGCCCTGTAAAAATTATGAGGATTAAAACTACATGTAGATATATAATATATATAGGCTACAATATACAATATTTAAGTTTAAAAATCATGTTGAAAGCAAAAGTAAAGAAAGTAGTACTCTTAGTACTGATTAAGTGAATTTTAAAGTTAGCCTAATAACTCTAAAAATAAATAATTAGGGGCCTAATTAATAATTATTAAATTAACAGTTAGGCCTAACTAATTAATAATTATTATTAATTAATAATATATAATTAAAACTAATTTATTAAGACCTTAAACCATATTTGCAGGTTCTGGATAACAGAGATCCCCCAAAGATGAAGCGAATAAATCATTTCTTTCAACCGTCAAGTAAAAAATGGTTAGTCTGCTTCTTCTACTAACGCTAGAATTAGCTAAAAACAAGACAAAAGTTATTAAACGAATGAACTGTGAAACGTTGGTCGATATCGAAAGTTGACATATAAAGGCCGGTTAATCTAAAAAATAGCGGAGCTCCTTTTTAATAGCTTTTCTTATTTGTCTTGTGTGTAACAAACGCAACGGCATTTAATTAAATATTAGATCAAGTAAGATCTACTAAGGACGCTATAGTTTAATTATAGGCCTACTAGCTATATCAAGATCAAGTAGGTGATCATGAAGATCTAAGACAACTAAGTAAAGCGCTTTTCCGGTAAAAATGAGGTGTTGAAGCAGAAAGGACTGTAACTCTTACGTTTAGAAAACTCGATGATGGTTTACTTCCTACCGTTGCCTATGGTAACAAGGCAACAAAATGGCGCTGAACATCGACACGGAGAAATATTACATAGAAAGTATCCTTTCATATGCATCACCAAACAACACATCTTTTAATTTAAGTAGAAAAATAACGAAGTAAAATTCAACCTTATTTGCTATTTTTTTAGTTAAAAAATGTGTAGGTATTGTATTTGAAGACCTACTTTCTGAACTCACTTGTCTTTCTCTTTTTCTTCACATCAGACATCAGAATTAGTTTTATTTGCTTTTTCTCATACTTTCCTGGTAAGGCTAAGCTTAGAAAGTATCATAGGCATGAGTCCTATATTTATAAAAGCATGTAATTTTTAAAGGAGTTTTACCTAAAAAAAAAAAAAGAACTATGAACTACAAAATAATACTGAAGTCTAGGATATTTAAGAATATTTAAGATTTTTGTGGAAGTGATTTTTCCTTAAATTTAGAACAGAGGAGGAAGTTGCTTTAGATTCTGATGATGACTATACATATGAGGAAGTCCCTGTTGAAGATGACTTAGTTCCACCAGGTAAATAAAAAATCTTATTTTACTTTTTAAAACAGTGTTTTTTTTCCTATCGATTTCTTAGATGTTCAGAATCTTTTTTCACAACAACATTGTAGTTTTCCTATCATGCATATGACATTCTCTTTATATTGGCAATTTTAAACAAAATTGAGCATGCTACATGCCTGAGTTACATATTAAATAAAAATAATGTTATTTTAAAAAAAAAATTCTTTTGTCCTTAAAATTATTTAACCAAGCAGAATATAGTTACTCAAATACATTATTTTAGTATAGTAAATTTAATTAAAAATTTAATTTATAAATCTTTTTCACTTTGAAAACATATTCAAACAAAAGAACATCACACAAACCTTACACCAACATAACTTTGACTTAAAATATTATTGATTTAAGAGCTTGAAGAAGATTTGGATGCTGCTGTTAGGACAATCCGTGAAGCCAATGATGATGCTATTGCAAGAGTAAGTTTAAATCATCAATGTATTTCAATAGTCTGGATAACAAATAAACAATATATAAAAGTATTTAATATTGATCTCAATTTAGAAAGAATATATATATATATATATATATATATATATATATATATATATATATATATATATATATATATATATATATATATATATATATATATATAAAAATTAGTTTACATTTTTAGATAATGTTTTTCTAGGCTCCTGGGCCACCAGTTGCCAAGCCTGCAGTTTATCAGAAACCAGAGGTTGTTGATGATTTTGTCAGAAATTTTCTCATCCATATGGGAATGTCTCGTACGCTTGATTGCTTTCAAACAGAATGGTGAGTTAAAAACTTTAAATGAAAGAACAAAATAAAAACCACAAAAACATTCCTTTAAAAATAACTTAAGTGATGAATTTTGCAAACCTTGTTAAAAAAATAATAAAGGAATTAGATTAGGCTTTAATTTCATTCCTTATACTAATGTTGCCCTTTATTCTAAGGTATGAATTGCAAGAAAGAGGACTTCTAAAGTATGCTGATATAGGAATAGTTCCTGATGTTTACACTAGAAATCAAGAACTTGAAAATGAAATAGAATTTCTGCAAAAAGAAGCAACCAAGTTTCAAAATGCAGCCATGTAGGTCGAAATAAAAAAAAATCTAATCTTGAGTTACAATGTGTCATTGCCCATCAATGTTTCTACAAGCTACGAAGTAAATCAATGTATTTATTAAATATATTTGAGTAAAAAGTAACCTATAGATTATGATGGATAGTTAAAGGTAACACAGATAAAAGTTATGATGGATTTAAAGGGTATTTTTCCTCCTCCATCACAGTAAAGCCAAAGATCTTTATGTTAAACTGAGGAAGGAGCGAGATTTTCATCGTATGCATCATAAACGTGTTGTGCAGGAGAAAAACAAACTTATTGATGACATAAAGAGGTACGTTCAAACACTTTCTGGGAGTATGCGGTAAATGATGAAACCTATTTGTGCTAATTTTTACCTCTCCACCCTCCTTTACAAGTCAGCTATTGTCACATTTTTGTTGCAAAAAGTCCTACTGCTCCCACCCTTAAGTCAAAATAAATTTCAACCCATCAATAAAATAACTTTAATTTTCATTTGTTTTTCTTTTTAAATTTTCAAATTATAGCATCATTCTTGACACCTCCTCTCCCTCACTTAGTACATAGTCACACGTCTTAACTCATACTGTCCTCTTGGTGTGTAACATCACTTATGGATGAGCACTTTCTAACAAATACATCTGATACAGTTTGACAAAATATGTGTTTGCTAAATGTAATTTGTCTGTGTTTAGGTTAAAGCGCCACTACTCCCAGTACCCAGATAACATGCAGGCTCTCAAGAAAAAATATGAAGCTGCCATGAAAGAAAAAATGCTGGCTAACCTGGAGCGAGATCGTGCTCTTGGGCAAGTCACAGGTCTACAAAGTACCATCAAGAACTTGGAACTCTCTCAAGGTAAAGTTAACTAATGTCATTTGTCCAGATCAGCTAATGTCACATGCCCAGATGAACAAATGTCAGATGCCCAGATAAACTAATGTCACATGCCCAGATAAACTAATGTCACATGCCCAGATAAACTAATGTCACATTCCCAGATAAACAAATGTCACATGCCCAGATAAACTAATGTCACTAGCCCAGATAAACAAATGTCACATTCCCAGATAAACAAATGTCACATGCTTAAATAAACTAATGTCTCATGCAGAGTTAAATATTACAACCCAAGTAAAATGTCACATACCAAGTTAAATATCACATACCAAGTTAAATATCACATACCAAGTTAAATGTCACATACCCAGTTAAATGTAACATACCAAGTTAAATGTCACATACCAAGTTAAATGTCACATACCAAGTTAAATGTCACATACCAAGTTAAATGTCGCATACCAAGTTAAATGTAACATACCAAGTTAAATGTAACATCCCAAGTTAAATGTCACATACCAAGTTAAATGTCACATATCAAGTTAAATGTCACATACCAAGTTAAATGTCACATACCAAGTTAAATGTAACATACCAAGTTAAATGTCACATACCAAGTTAAAGGTCACATACCAAGTTAAATGTAACATACCAAGTTAAATGTCACATACCAAGTTAAATGTCACATACCAAGTTAAATGTCACATACCAAGTTAAATGTCACATACCAAGTTAAATGTAACATACCAAGTTAAATGTAACATACCAAGTTAAATGTCACATGCCCAAAAACCTGACATCACATAGCCAGATAAATTAATTATACTAAAGTAAATGTTTAGTAAAATAATAAAACACCAAATGCAATTAAAATAAAGTGAACAATGTCCAACAATATTGTACTATATAGGAGGCTCAGGTGTAAAAGTAGAGGAGAAGAAAGACACAAAAGGTCCAACACACAAACAGCTGTTGATGGAGAGACAGAAAAGATCTGCTGGTGCTGATGGTGATGTTGGGAACCAAGCCCCTGGTTTCAAAAGATATGTCAATGTAAGGATACAGTCACATAATATGTTTATTTACACACAGTTATGTGAAAACAGGATAATAGGATAACATTTTTTTTCATTTTATTTGTTAGAAAACTGTCAGCTTATCATTATATTCAATAGCCTATCTAGATAAAAATAATTTTTTGATTTTTTTTAACAACTGAAAACATTCTTGTACTACATCTTTTGGTTAATCATTTAAAATTAAAGGAATAATCAGCCCTGTTCAGACTACATGATTTTATTTATGATGTCAGAACATTTGAATTGCGTAACCTTTTCCGTTTATAATTAATATGCACTTATTAAATTAAAAAAAAATATTCATTAAACTTGTTTTTACTAGTGATTTTTGTGAACCCTAATGTGATTTGTTTAACTTAATGCTGCTTTTATTTATCTAGGACTCAGAATTTCCTGTGGATCATGGCATCAATCCATTCCTAAATCAGTCTAAATACATGACAGCTAATGCTGCAAGAGCTGGTGGCTTCCGTTTGTCCAATTCTTTTGTGGCTCATACTCATGCTATCAGTGGGTTGGTACTCTTTTATACTTGAAAATTAATATTATGTGAAAGTATTATTTCAAGAAAAATTATTTTAAAAGTTAGATTAACTTAATACATTGAACTCTATGAACCCTGACCTCCTATGGTATTTAAGTAATTCATTAACCCCCCTCTCCCCCCCCCCCCTACGCCACCCCTGCATTCTAAGACTAAGTTGTCCACCTTAATGGTTTAAGTGGGTTCATTTTTCTTTATTTAGCAGACATTTCTTAATTTGTTTTATGTTTAAAGCAGAAATATACAGTATTTTTCTGAGTATTTAAGAATTAGATAGTTGTATTTAAAGCAATGCATGTAAAATTTTAATGAAATTGGAATTCAAATTTAGCCTATAGAAATATAGAAAAAACCACTTTCATAGTAAAATAAAGACGTAAAAGCCAAACAATCTAAAAAAAAGTCATTTAAAGTTGGAGTTAAAGAAATAAAAATGAACTGTTTCCATAGTGGAAGCCTCTCATTCCAGAGTCATGCTAAATTTCAAGCCCATGAACTTCCTGTTACAGGGTTTGTAGAGTAACATGTTCTTTCAAATTAAAATTGGTATTAAATTCTTGCTGTGTTAAAGGACTTCATAATTCTCACAAGTTTCAGCCAAACTATGTAAATATATAAAACATTTTATTTAAAAATCTTAATGTGATTTCCTTCAAGTTGCAGATCTAGTTTAAAATGACTTGACTGATAGATGTAAATTTTATACATTTTAAAAATTAATTAATCTGTTAATGATAAATTATGTGCACTGGTTATTATTGAGGGCCAACATGTAATGTAGCTTCATACTTTGATATTTCTCTTATGGTCCTTTAACACATACATCTGTTTTTTTAGATAGGGTTACATGGCTCTTTCATAAGCATACACATATTTTTTCCCAAAGTTTTTTTTTGGCTTGATTCAAATAAATTGACTTTCAATAAATGCTTCCACTATAATGAATGTATTACACAATTCAAAACCATTTAACAAAATATTGTACTCATTTTATGAAGGTGAAATTATGGATTTTATAAAATCAATTATCATTTAGACAAAACATAATTTAAAAATTAAAGTAATTTAATTATAGTTTCTGTTTTCAAGGGTAATTTAGGTGACATAGTTTTTAATACTTAATTCTAGAAGTTTACACATTACAGAATATTTCTATACATTCTATGCGTTGCCTCTTTCAAGATCTGTAATATTATCCAATATGTACCTGGGGATGTTTTAATTTTTTATAAAAAAATTATCAAGTATATCAACTATTTTTGCTACAAATTTTACAAACAAAATATTTGTATGTATGTAGTTTGTAAAGATGTCTATCAATGCCACTCTGTTGGTTTATTGCCCAAAATAAAAAAAAAAATTCTGTAAAGTTTACTAAAATGGAGAAAACTAAATTATGTTAGTTCTCTATAATTGAAGAGACTTGGTGCTTTCATGATTCCTTCTTATGAAATTCTTGTTTTCAAATGACTTTATGGTAAAAATCCTTTCATTTAATATACAATCAATAAAGACAGGCTACATAGTAATAATATAAAGTTATGTAATGGCTACAAGAGCAATCAAATTTTGAATGATAATTTAAATCCAGGAAATGTTACCACCTAGATAAAGCCTTGCTATTATAACAAATATTCTATTTCCATTGTATGTAATGGTAGATACTTGATGCCAGTCTTGTTTACTGTTATACCCATATGGCCCTATCTTGTATTTGTTGATGTTTGAGTTAAACCTTATTTTTATAATCAAGTAGAAGCATTTGGTAAACACAAATACACTCTTGTTGTTTTCACTGTCATGCCGGATTATTTAAAAAATATCAGTTATGGTTAGATTTAAAGTTTGAGATAGCTTTATTTTGGTTTGTAAATATATTATTATGTAACATGATTTGTGGGACTATAGTTAAATTAAAAATAATTCTGACATGCCTAACTAATTAAGAACTGTAAAATTATAATTCTATTTTCAAAATATTTCTATCCATATGTAGAATATTTATGTAGTGTTTATTTATTGATTACTTCTTCCTGTTCAATAAATATAGTATAACAGACTTAAAAGCATTATTTACTTAATGTTTATGTTTTCTGTTTTTGCAGTTTAGCTCTACACCCTAGAAAGCAAATTTTGGCCACAGCAAGTGATGATCAGACATGGAAAATTTGGGCCATTCCTAGTGGAGAGATAATCATGACAGGGGAGGGTCACACAGACTGGGTATCTGATTGTGACTTTCATCCTATGTAAGTACGTGTTTAGGGGAGGTCACACATGTGACTTTCATCCTATGTAAGTATGTGTTTGGGGGAGGAAAGGGGGAGGAAAGGTTTACACAGATGATGACTTCCTTTATTCTATAAGTAAGTAGCAGATTGCATCAATGCCTAGGGCAAGCTCTTGATTTTACAATGTAGATATACTTATAATTGGGAAGACTTGATATTTTTTCTCATATTGTATTTGTAAATATTTGTATATATAAAAATTGATGTATAGGTGCCTGGCTTCTCTATCTCTATTAGGGCTTGACATCATACTGTTTGTTCAATGATAGGAGACAGATAATTGACAATTTGTTTTTTAAAAACTTGAAAATTTGAATTTTTTTAGTGGCTCAAGTCTTGCTACAACCAGTGGAGATTCAACTGTAAAAATCTGGGACTTCTCTAAAGCTGCTTGTGTGCATACCTTCACAGACCACACCGCTGCAGGTGGGAATTTCTGTTTAATATTTTTTTAATACTCAGTCAAATCTATTCCACGAAATCACACCAACTCCCACATAGAAATTTTTTTTTATCAATAACCCTAACCCTAACCCTAGCCATTTAAAGTAGTGATTAAAGTTTTTTTTATCGAACCTGATGGTCCATGGGGCTAATGAAGTAGACTTCTCCTGTTTTTGTGACCTCTGCATATAAAGAGGTAGTGTAGTCAGCACTATGCCCAGCAGCCTTTACTTTCCCTAACATGAGTTAGGTACCCATCAGACCTTTGGCCATTTGACAAAAATCCTGATGTGAATGTGACTTGTAACCTTTGTAAAAAATTATATTGTTTTAGAAATGGCATTAACTTTAATTCTGTAGTTGCTCATTGCGTATAATTTATCCTGTTTGAGATTGCCACTTGTGTAAGGATGTGTGTGATCAAATGTTTATTTTTTCTACAGTGTGGAGCTGTTCTTGGCACACTTGTGTAAAGATGTGTGTGATTAAATGTTTATTTTTTCTACAGTGTGGAGCTGTTCTTGGCACACTTGTGTAAAGATGTGTGTGATTAAATGTTTATTTTTTCTACAGTGTGGAGCTGTTCTTGGCAGACTTGTGTAAAGATGTGTGTGATTAAATGTTTATTTTTTCTACAGTGTGGAGCTGTTCTTGGCACACTTGCGGCAACTTCCTTGCCACAAGCTCCATGGACAACACCGCTAAAGTATTTGATCTCAACAGGTACGGGTGAAGGGGTGTTGTAAAACATACAGATAAGGGTGTATTTAGGATTTTATCTTGGGTGGGGGTGGGGTGTTACATATTTTTTCCATTTATATATAATGTATCTGTCTCTCTCTATTTACACATATATAACAAGTTTTTGTGAACATAAAGTTGCATATTAAACTAAAAGCATTAAAATGGACATGAAGAGGCCATCACTAGTTGTTAAATTAACATCAGACAGTTGTCGTTTTTGTGGACCATAATGTTGTGAAAATATTTGCATTTAATTTACTAATTCAAATTAAATCCTCCCAATGTTGTTAAAATGGAAAAAAAAATTCTTTTAGCCTGCGCTGTCGCTACTCATTGCGAGGTCACATGGATTCAGTGAACAGCGTGGAGTTTCTACCTTACAGCAACACTCTACTGACTAGCTCGGCTGACAAAACTGTCTCACTCTGGGATGGAAGAACTGTAAGTCATTGCTTTTCTAGGTTGGGCGTAAGGTATTTGAAACTTTAGTTGGATGTTCCATTTACCTGAGTTTTTTCATCTCTGGTTTATTGGGGAAAAGGGAGGGAGGAGAAACCATAGAGGGGAGGTTAATTTGTGATCTACTTAAGATTCCTGTTCCCTGCTACAGGCTCCCAGCAGTCTTAGAGGTTTTTTAAAAAGTTTGTTCGGCATGTACAAAACAGAATCCTTCCATGCTAAATTATAAAAATGAATACTTATCAGTACTGTAAAATTTTAAAATTTTTTAATTCTATGATTATTATAGGTGCCACTCGCTATCATACTTTAAGTCTAGCCATCTCAAATATTTATATTTATTTATCTTTTTATGAATTATTTCATAAAAAAAGTGTGATTTTTACATTGCTGTTACCAATAACTAATTTTTTTTATGCTCTATAATTTTAGGGTCTATGTGCACAGACATTTTATGGCCACATGCATTCTGTCAATCATGCAACATTCAGCTTCAGAGTAAGCCATTTTTCTTATCTGGTTTTAAATACTTTATTCATCTCTTAACCTTGGAAATACAATAGTTTGGATCATCTTAAGCAAAATTTATAAATTCTAAAATTTTAATTTTAGGGTGATATTATTGGCTCCTGTGATGCTTACGGTGTGATCAAATTATGGGATGTCCGCAGTGTAGCCCCAATGGCTAGTTTTGAAATTGGACCCCACTCTGCCAATAAAATTGGTTTTGACACCTCGGGTGGAGTCGTGGCTATTGCCTGTAATGACAGCATGCTTAAAATGTATGAGATTGCCACTGGAACTGTAAGTTACAAGTTTAAAACTTTGCTCTTAACATTTAGACAATGTATAACTAATTCATCAATACATCATCTCTTAAAATTATGTTTAAAAAACTATTTTTAAAAAAGTATACGTAAATGTATTTAGTTTGTCTAAACAATAAAGAACCATTGTGAATCTGTAATCAAATGATGTTCTACAGATCACATCTTTGGCTGGTCATGAGGATGCAGTACAGTGTCTGATTTTTGATGTTGGTGGTGAATTTATGGTGTCTGGAGGAAGTGATAACGTTGTACGCATCTGGTCCTAGTTCAACATACAACCATTGTTCCATGATGTCTTTATACAAATATTAATGACATACAATTTTTCCATGTCTTTATGCAAATCTTAATTTAAATATTGATTGAATTTAAAAACACGTATTGTAATCAAGATAACTTGAAATTTTAAAAATTTCAAACACATCTTCTACCAGTGTAATTATCTTCCCATTAACTTCTAATTTTAATAATGCACAGCACAGGTTTGGTAATGAAATGGATACCTTTGTATTACAAAGATAAAGCATCATTATGCCCACAAGCCTGTCATGGAGAAAATATGCTGACACATTGTTTTTTTTTAAACTTTAATATTTCCCAGATAATTAAATTGTAAGAAAATTATCTTGTTTCAAATGCTGGAAAGTACATACAATGATTGTATGATTACACACAAATCTAGAAAAGTGGTGAAGTTCATGGACACCTAGATCTATATTTCATAAAGTTTTTGAATTTTAATGCAGCTCATTATATAGTTAGTAAATGTTTCAAGTTTATTGGAAAACTAAAATATGGTTTCTTAAAAGTAATGTCTGTGATATGTATAATATATAATAAAATACTTTCTGAAATAATTTTTTTTGAATGGGTAAGAAAACTGACATAACTAGTGAGCATTTTGCTTACTAGTCAAACCATAGCTTGAAACTGGGTTTGTATGTTCATGAACTGTTGGTTTTGTGATACTGTTTTTGGATGTTAGATAATTCCTTTACCAGGAATACATTGTGAGATACTTGTATGAAAGACTGGTCTTATAAACTAATCATGACTTAGTATTCTGAGACTTGTGAACTTTAATCCTCCAGGTTTTGCTCAGCTTATTGTTCTATACTAATCTCTGCAGCCTAGCTAAATTACATGCTAATGACTAAAAAATAACTTAGTAAATGGCTCTGGTAAGTTGAGCAGTAAAGCAAGTCTTAACACAATCTGCATGTGAAACACTGAGCTTTTTTCTAACAAAGATTTTTTTGTGTTTATTTTGACTCTTGTTTACAGCCAATAAAACATGCGTACAATAATTATCATAATTAATAAGGATGATGAAGAATCAGAACAAGTTTTAATATTCATAAAAAAATGGTTGAACATCCAGCATTGGATAGCAGCAAGGCAAAAACTGAGGAGAGAAAACGCCTTACACTAGGTTTATACACCACGTTTGTGTTACTTGGAACAAAACAACAAATAAAACAGCTGTGGACTGATGAACAAGTGAAGATTAAGCCTTAAAACTGGTTTGCTCTAAGAGAATCGTGTTTATTGGTTTAATCAAGCGTTGATTCTGGAACTGGACACCAAACTGGGTAGTTCAGCTACAAGTGAGATTCAGTACTTGTCAAAAAAGACTAAATTTAATTATCAATATTATTCTAACCCTGAGGATAAAACTTATAACAAGTTTTTTTTCTATTTGTTCTTAATCCAAAATTATTTCTTTTCATTAATTTTTGGATAATTTTAAGACCAGTTACTAGATTTATAACAAAATGGTTCCAACTTTCAGACAGGAAGTTTGTTTTTTACTGTTTACATAATATACATATTCTAATTTTTGCAACAAAAATTAAAAGTGTGGCTAGTTAATGAAGACGACAAACAAGCGTTAAATCAGATGCCATAGACATTAGAACAGAGATACATTTTTAACATACTTTATTTGAGAATACAAATGTTAAAAAAAAAGTATTAGCTATCCACTTTGAGGGAAATAAAAAAAAAAACTTGGTGTTAACTCATAAAAAAGCGGTTTGCTCTCGACTGTTTAGTTGGTACAAAGTTAGAAATAAGACGCAGTAAAAATGTTTTCATGTACAGTAATGGAACAAATATTGCATGATATCATTACACACATAGAAAGCATTAACCTTTATCACAATAAAGTAAAAAAAAAAAAATTGGGAGCATCTGATCAACATTTAAAGCAAAGAAAAAAAATATATCAGTAACAATTGATTTAGTGAAAATTTTGTATACCTAGTAGAGAACTCTTTGTGTGAAAAGAATTTCAATAACATAGGTGTGAGCAGTAGAAAAACACCTATGAATAAAATTTCTTTGTTTCGGAAGCGTTTATTGCAAACACGGAGGCACAAATTAAGACTAATATAAACCAAATAATTGATAAAAGTTTTTTTTAACAGCAAAGAAAAATATTTAAAGTATAATGCATTCATATTTTTATGACATTTTTAGCATGATTATAAAATAATTTTTTTATATGGAATAGTGAGCAAAATATTGTTCTCTGCAAAATTAGAAAAAAAAGTTACATGGAATTTTTAAATATGGTCAAAAAAGAAATCAATTTTTTTTTTAAACTGTAAAAAATGGTGGCAAAACTTTCTAAAGTGTCTACTGGAAAATGCGACGTGATGGCAGAGAGAAAAATATGACAAGTCTACACCAATCTTATACACAGCAACACGCTGTTAGCTGTACCCTGCACTATGTGACAAGACAGGCTAGTCTACTTCCTGTGAATTGCACCATACATTTTTAGACTTAAATCGATCAAATACCAAAAAAATTCCAGGGAAAACAAATACATTAAGTTGAGATGATCTTCCTATGTTGTCTAAAATTCTAATAAAAAGTAATTGATTCAATGAAGCATTAGTATAGACATCTTTCTAAACTGAATGCACATAACAAATATCAATATAAACACGAGAGATGTCAACAGAAAGCTAGCGACGCAACCAAAGTGGTCTCATGACATGACTACGTGGAGGCTCACAAGAAAATGTACGATAGCCTTTTGTTTATGACCAGTTGCTATCTGAAAATTTGTGTCATTAAATACTTTCACAAAGTAGTGATATAAAAATGATTTAAGTTGCTATCAGTAAAATAAAAGGATTTATCTTTCTATTCAAAGCAGTCCTTTTAATTTACTGTGCCATGTTGGCAGCGCTAGCGTCAGAACCAATTTTTTTTTAAACCACGCGAAATTGTCGAAATGAAAGGACTGCTTATAAAAAGTACTTTTGTCTGAGAGCATTCACTTTCCCCCCGATTTTTCTCAAATCAATGAGTTTAAATAAAGATAAATTTACAAGTGGGTCTCCCTGATATAAGTAAAAATGAAAAAAAATTACCACTATAATGTAATTTTAAAAGTATAAATCTCAATATTTTAGAGTGATTAACATCAGCACACTGTCAAATCTTCATATGGTAGCAATGAGAGAAAAAATATTCTTAATTTAGATGTAGCTTGTGTCTGGGGCAATGAAAGCTAGCATGTCATTGGCTGGATGGATAAAATGCTTGCTCTTCATTGGACGACTTTGTCACACAGTTGCTATGGTCTAATGAGCCACTAGTAGGGTTGGGTTCAGTTGTCTGACACTGCTCCATTTGTTGCTGGGACTTCAGTCTGAAACAAACACATGCATAAATTACAGACAATCAATAGACACTCAAATTATCAAATAATATCAAGACCATTATGATATAAATCAAGTAAAGAAAATAGTCCAACAACATTCTTAACACTGATAGCCCTTACGCACAGAACAGAAAATCTGAGTAATAAATTTAATCCATTGTGCAAATACTAATAGAGGATGAAAATCAATAAAAACAATGTTATTGCTTTAAATTATTTCATTATTGAGGTGCCTAGCAGTGATACAATTCTAGACCGCTAAACTGTCTGTCTTAGTGTTGTGGTAAGTTAATCTAGATGATGTGTTCAGTCACATCATTGCCAGTTTTAGCATCAGCTAAAGGAGTATAAAACAAACAAGAGAAAATAAACTTGACAATATAAAACTCTGTGATGCAAACACCGCATTTTAATGTAAAAGAAGTTTCCAGAAGTAAGTACAAGAGAATTAAAACAGCAATAGCAATTCCATTCTTTGTGACATCTACTCCACACCTGTTACGTAGTAATCCCTTATTAAAATCTGTCAAAATGTTTCCTCACTATTATTTAGACTCAAGCTTAGAAGTAAAAAAGTTCCTTTTTCGAACTTGATGGTCCACAGAACAAGTGAAGAATACACCTGTTTCTGTTACCCCGGCTTTTAAAGGGATAGTATGGTCAGCACAATGCCCAGCTGCCTTTACTTTCTCTAACATGAGTAAGGTACTCATTGGAGATAGGTGGACTCTGGGATGTTGTACTGACTTGAACCCAGATTCGAACTTGAGACTTTAGTGTTAGCCATCTAGTGCTTTACCACTAGGCTACTTCGTCACAATTTAATTGACTAGAAATGTGTAGAGACTATGTGGAGGCAGAATTGAAAGAATTCTCTAAAATGAAATTAATTTTACAGCCACAAGATCCAACTACAAAAATTGAACCAACTTGGCCTCCGTGATAAAAAGTAGGTGGGGATAAAAAGGGAGCTAATCATTACCTGAACAAGCTAGTGATGATGTTTAGCGTGATCATGTTTTATGTGGCAGTAATGAGGCCTGGCATTCGGCCTCCAGTTGAGTCTCCATGTTGGTATCACAACATTACCTCCCCTGGGGGTATGGTGAATGTTCTCTAGAGAGCCAACCCTGGGTGAGCCGTCCCAGTTCTCCCTCAAGTTGGGGATGGCTCCTATAGTGGTGCGGGGCTGGTGGTGGATGTTCTCTAAGGAGCCGACTTTAGCCTTGGCTCTCCACTTGACAGTTTGGTTCATGATGTACACCTCCCCTGTCTCAGGGTGATAGTGGATGTTCTCAAGGGAGCCCACTCTAGCTTTGCCCTTCCATGACAGATGCTGGTTGGGTATAACAACATTACCCCCCCTTGATGAGTAGGACATGTTTTCCAAAGAATTTATTTTAGGGCTGACCTCGACAAATTTTTTATTGACGGTAGGTATTTCCCCAACCCCGGGGATGTAGTATTTATTGACCACGACAACCCGTGGGCTAGACGGATCGCTGAGGTCGACCTGAGACCCAGGGTAGTTGAAATTCTGCAGCGAATCAACTCTGGCTTTTGATTTCCACTTGATCTTCTCATCAAAAATAAGTTTGTCCCCTCCTCCAGGTTTGTGGTTAAGGTTAGACAGAGATCCTATCATTGGCTTAGCCTGCCAGCCCAGGTCTATAGGGGGCAGCTTCCCCGTGTCTTTGGGAATCTCCAGTGAATTAGTTTTAGGCCAGTACTTCCAGTCTGGCCGGTACCCATCGTGGTACTCCATGCCGTCATACAGACGTGACGGACTAGAGCGAGGGGATTCGCCGGGGCGTGGAGATTCACCAAGGCGCGGAGAGTTGTTGGGAGATTTCCTCTCACTGTGAGTCACATTCCCGTTGTATGTGGCCAGGTAATGGCCGTGTTTTTCTTCCACTTCATCTGCCATGTTGGATTTTTCATCAGTCAAGCCAAAATTTTCATCAGTCATATCAATTTTCTAGTTGTTAATGTGTCTTAAAGTCTGGCCACTTAGTTCTTTATTGTTGTTCTTAGTCATTTAATTTTTACAGATGTAATATGAATATTTTGAATATTTGCAACACGCCAGCAACTATAAAAACAGAAACAGCTCCAATCAGAAAGAAATTATGACAATAGAAACCTGACAAAAACTACTGCTTTATTGGGTAGTCCTCCAACTGTGACAAGTTAACATAACAAAATTTCTAAGTCCTGACTTTTTAAAATAAAACTACCAAACAATATCTACACGATAGTATCCATAAAACCATAGGAATTATCACTCATGATTTCAAGCTACTGGAATATATAAGATCCAATTCCACTTGATCACACTTAAAAAACTCCATACAATATCACACACCTTGATCCCCATACAATACCATACAACGTGATCCCCCCATATCTAGCTAAATGGTGATCAAAGACCTTTCAATCTCTACTGATCTATTGGTTGACCCCAGCACCGGCACTGTAAACACACAACAGGTTTTCTATTTATAGAAATGGGGTAGAAATATGCAACCAAACGAAGGCTATAGACATCGAGAGGATCTACATATATGAATATATCAAGAGAATGCAAGGACGGCATTACTTTTGGCAAGGAGGGGAAAGGAGGGGGCGGAGGACTTTTAAGTGACGTCAGAGTTGGCCAGTATAAGGTGTTGGTTGGGTATGGAGGGTGGTTAGAATTAACATTCAAATTCAGCACTACGGCAGCTCTGAAAGTACGTTCAAACGTGGTAAATAGCGGTGCTAGGGCCACGTTAAAAATTACCAATCACCCCCCCCCCCCCCATACGTGATTATTACTCTGTCTACGTCTCTACCGCGTGTTGAAAGGAAATAATATGTGAGGTCGTCATCATAGGCTGAGTCGGTTTTACCAGGGTAGAACAATATACAGCTTCAGGCTACAGTGTGTTGATTTGTGAGTAGCCGTGCTCATAAAACCTACAGCACACGATGGAGTACACAAAACTTACAGATCACGACCACACACGAAACCTACAGCTTCCGTAACCTCACTAAACCTACAGCTTCCGTAACCTCACTAAACCTACAGCTTCCCCAACCTCACTAAACCTACAGCTTCCCCTAACCACAAGAAACATACAGCACAAGATGGAGTACACAACATTTACAGCTCCCAACTACATGAAACCTACAGTTAAGCCTACAGGTGGGGAATAAAAACCTAAACCATTTGTCTCTCCGAATTTAGAAAGGAACATCGTGTCCCTGGACGCCTACCCGCATTTTCCGATAGGGTAGGACCCGGTAATAGGTCGGTAGGAGAGGATGAAGTTTTAAACATAATGGGCAGGACGGAATAGATCTAGAGTCTATGTCGCAACCGAATACGATTGGCAAAGGTGTGTGAAACTTTTGTCATGTGTAAAACACAGGTCGAGGGTAGGATGGTGTAGATAGCCTAGGCCGGGACAGTCGCAACTCTCATTTTGTGGCGGGCGTCGTCTGGCCTTCAGTCAACAACTGGGACGGTAAGTCCGCCGGTAAGGTTGTAGTATACTGTACTCACAGAGACTGTGAGAGTTACGCGTGACTTAAAAGTGAGGTAAAGAGGTACCCGTGTCTTCAGGATTAGGTGATGTGGATAGGGGAGGTCCCCCCATAAACGGCATTATGTTACTTAACCTCCCCCCCCCATCCTAATACATCATCACAACAAGTCAGCCCCTACACAAAATACCATACTCAACAAAAATCAGCGTATTTCATTACGTTAATGATTGAACAGTATAAAATGCTGTCAAACTAGTGTCTCCCTCCCCTAAACCATGCAGTTTATAGCCACTAAAGTCTGACCCCACTCCACAAGGAGAGAGATGTCTGACCCGAAACACCGTCGAGTGTTGAGATGTATCTTAAAATACATTTCCAATTAAAAATACGGCTTGAAAAAAATAATTTAATATTTATAATCAGACGACGGATGGTTAAATATAGAATGAAACTGACGTCATTGACACGATGGCGACAGCGTAAACAATGTAAAGATAATCGTTTTAGCACGTCAGCAACATGTGAGCAGCCTCCGCAGACACGCGACACGAGTTCCACGTCATACAGGGACACGGGGGTGACGTCACGGACAGTGTATTTTTAACATGTTGAACGGTTGTTGTTATTACAGTGGTTAGACACAGTGGATGGTGTAATCACAGTGGGCTGAGATCAGTTTCACTACTGGCTTGCGGCAGATTAACATCACTCTCATCAAGAGTTACCATCACTAAAACAAATGACCAATAACATAAACATCGCATTTAGCTAAAATAACCGTCATAATTGGCTAGCATAACCATTACAGCTGGCTAAAATAGCCATCACAACTGGCTAACATAACTATCGCATATGGCTAACAAACCACAACTGGCTAACATAACGATCATAGTTGGCTAACATAACCATCACAAATGACTAATATTACCACAACTGGCTAACATAACAATCACAACTGGCTAAAATAACCACAACAATTGGCTAACATAACCACAATTGGATATGATAAACACAAATGGCTAACATTACGTAAGTTCCCTAATCACACGAACACGACCCAACACCATACATATGAAACTTAAAATCGTTGGTATCCAAATGAAAAAAAGAAACAAATCCACCCCAACTGAAAATCCACTGACGGATCCACCCCAACTGAAAATCCACTGACGGATCCACCCGAACTGAAAATCAAGTAACGGATCCTCCCCAACCTTCTCACACCTATGAAAAACAAATCCTCCTGAGTTACCCAACCCCAATCTTGCCGGTGAAACCAAGAGGGCGCCCCACAACCACCCCCATCTAATGAACCCCCCCCCCCCCAACACAAACACACCAACCCCTATAACACAAGTTAAATCTCGAGTGTGACATTGATCGCTCCTCCTATACACCAAGACACCCAAAGGTCAAAGATCAAGTCACCCGCATTCAAGAGCCATTTAATCTTTGCCTTTACAACTGAACAATCGCAACCATAGCGAACCACAACCCCTCCCCATATACACTTGACCAAATACTACCAACGAAATCGAACCATTTAAAAATTTTCTTACACAAACAACGGAGGTACAGTCGGATATAAAAAAAAAACCCCATTTACATAAAAAAGCAATAAAAGTAGAACCAGAAATCGATACACATCAATCAATCAGATAAACGGCGAGGTACCTCGGGGTAAGAGGTTCGATTTGGGAAATTTAATTTTATCGGTCACAAGATATGTTTTTTTAAACAAGAAATAAAATCTCAAGTAGGTAAAAACAGTAAGTACAGAGAAACTATTTAAATCTAGATCTAGATCTAACTGGTGTTGGATAGGAAGTCAAAACACGTGGTTGAAAATTGGGACCAATGTAAAAGTTGGAGCAGCGAAACGAAAACGATCGAACTGGAGTTGACAAGAAAAAGGGTACACGGTATAAAAGCAATTTACCCGAGGGTTTGACGTCAGCAGGGTGATACAATGATCCGTTAAAGTAAACACTTAAGAGAAAACTAGCGTCAGATTTCAGGGCACTCAAATACGTGTTGTGGGTAATAAGAAAAATAAACAGTGCTCGAACAATTCAAATAATATAAAACACACAGAAGTTTAAAAAATATATATAAATACCAGAAGTTTAGCTAAAAATGTTAGCGACAGAACAAACAACATAATGGCAGGAAGCATTTGCTTATCAACAGACATTTAAGAGTATTTAAAAAAAAAAAATCTTTCATTATGTGGAAATCTATGGAGAAATATGCTTTAAAACCCGAGAATGGGCCAACGTGGAAGCACATACGTTCAGGCTTATCTAGATTTTACTCTAGCAGAGAGGGGTGGGTGGTGTAACAAGGTCAGAGTTTCTTTCAGGCATTTCTTTAACGTGTTTGCCCCCCCCCCCCCCCCCCGTCTAATGTCCCCTAAACGAAATCGAATTTTTATACAAAATATATATTTCAACCTGTGTCCGGCATTGTCCCCCCACCCCCCTTCCCCGGGAGAAAAAAGAAACACTATACAAGGTGTCATGGAGGTTGAAGTATGTGTGGGTCTACATTGTATTTCAACCAGACTAGAGAAGCAGTTGTTTTACTAGTACTGATCCACAGGCTCATCATTTTTCAAGAAAAACTTGAATATAAAATAAAGATAAATAGTAAAGATAGTGTTGTTCTACAGCCTAAAAGAAAGTTATGTATTAAAGAACTTACAGCAGCGCCCTCTGTACTTGAGTTCAACTTCTTTTGATCCAGGGAGCCAATTTTGGGAGAAGCCTTCTCTTTGAAGTCTAATTTTCTGGTCTCAATCTGTGGAAACAGGCCAGCCATGTCAACATGTACACAAGTTGTACACACTTTGTTTTCAGCATGTTGTATGTACGCACTGAGGGTTTGCTCATTAGCTCAACATAGAAATAAAAAACCCAACCCCAGTTTATTTTACAACACTAAAAGTAAATAAAAAAACGAATTATCCTCTTAAGGAGAAATAGTGTAGCTTGTTATCACATTTGTATTCAATTATTTGAGGTATTTTGTTTAGCTGCCTAGTAGCACACATCTTGGCTGATAGTCCATCCATTATCGAAACTTGCCAAGCTGACTTTTTAATATTTTTTTTTACCTTAGCATGAGGGGAAATCATTTACGGTTTAAGTGTTGGCAAGTGTTTTCTTTAATAGTTTATAATTAACACAAAATTGTAAACATTTAACCCTTTGAAAAATGCACTCGTTTGATCTCACACATATCATGCTGAGCTGAACTTCAAATATGAAGTCTTCAAGGGAGGGAAACAGACAAAGGGAGATTACTTAAATGAAAAAAAAAATAACCATAGAATGAAATAATGGAGATTTCATCATGAACAAATGATATGAATTCAGAAAAGAAATGCTCAGATTGATGAGAATTTTTTAAAAATGGTTACATGCTGATCTTGAAAATCTTTTTTTTTCTTTTAATATGTATTTATCATCATGATTTAGCAATTATTTCTTAATATTGTTTCCTTCTAATTTATTAAAAAGAACAACGAATATAATAAATAATGGTAAACTATATACACATTTGCTACATACACTGTCACTGAAACTTAAAACGATGAACTTTTTAAAAAGAAATAAAAACATCTTTTGGTGAATAAACTACAGAGAGTATATGATATATATATATGGCAACAGAATGTAGTCAGACACTGGTGCATCCATTATCTACACGTAACAATACTAAAACATGTGATATATAGAACGGTTTCACAATGGCCAAGAAACAAGGAAATTAAAGTCTCGAAGACAAAAAAATCTATTAAAAATGAAATAGGATGAACTTTTCAGATTTTAAAATGGAATTCCAAGAAAGAAGTATATCTAGAGAAACAATCAAGTTTTATCACAAGTTGATGAAAAAAAAATACATCCAGATAATCAAATTTTATTACGAGTGGAACAAAAAAATCAAGACTATCATCACTGGTAAGGGGAATCCAAAAAATAAAAAAATATAAAAAAATGAAAAAAAAAAATATGAAAATATCAAGACAACCAGATAATCAAGTTATATTACGAGTGAAAAAAAATCAAGATGGCATCATCACTGGTAAGGGGAATCCAAGAAAAAAAATGAAAATATCTAGACATGGAGAAGTTACTTGGATATTTCCACCACCCGGCTCATGATTTGCATTTTCCAGAGAGCGAATGCGAGCTTCAGCTTTCCAATCCAGCTTTTCTGATCGAATCTGTATAGGGTTATGTTATCAGCATGATTGGACAATAAGCGTGGAGCAATGAAAGGGTGAAGAAACAAAAACAGCAGCCACTCAGAGCAGTGCCACATGCAGTTTTTACACCAGCCAGCACCAAACTCAAAGAAGCAGCAGCATACAGCCAATAATGACAAGCACTCTATCATGGGGATGATTTACCCTTTTTTTCTATGCAGTTTTATTTGGGATTAACTCCCTTTTATATACATTTTAAATGAGCTATACATAAATTTACCCTTACTCAATTTTATCTGTGAATGAGTATCTTTCTCCAAAATGTTAAATAACCTGAAATTGCTAAGATTCATCCCTTTTCTCACTGATAATCAACATAAAATAGATTCAATTCTTTATTTTGCTTACTTGAATCACCCCACCTAACATTTGAATAGAAACTTACAGCCTGATATAATATTGATCCCCCCTCCCTTTCTATTTAACTTTTGGATTCTCCCCCTTTCTCACCTGATCTTGATTCTCCCCCTTTCTCACCAGTTTAGTCTGATCTTGATTCTCCCCCTTTCTCACAAGTTACACCTGATCTTATCCCCCTTTCTAACCAGTTTCACCTGATCTTGATTATCCCCCTTTCTCACCAGTTTAGTCTGATATTGATTCTCCCCCTTTCTCACCAGTTACACCTGATCTCACCTGTTTATCCCCACCACCTGGCTTGTGTTTTGCATTGTCTAATGATCCGACCTTTGACTGAGCTTTCCACTCTGTTTTTTGGACCTCAATCTAACAAAGAGTGTCATACAATCTTAACAAGTGTCCGCCTGCGTCAAGTCAACTGTATCTCCACCAATCAGACACGGTCACATGACCAGATCAGCCAATCATTGCTAATATTTCTTATTCAAACCACCACTTGACCAAACAGGCTAGCAGCAATATCTCAAACTAGCGAAAAAAAAATCTAGCAGATTGATTCTAAATTCAAAGTGATAATGTCAACTGGACAACTGACCAGCTGAAGGTTAAGTGACCAGACGAGCTTAGCTACTATGTATGGTAACCCCTGGAGCAACTGATTGTGGTGACCACATGGACACCATGGCAGCTGACCCATGATAATGATAAAATGATGCTACAAGGCAGCCACTACTCATGCTATAATGGTGTGATGAATGCAAGCAAAGAGGTTGTGATAATGATGGAGGCAGTGCTTTCTCTGAAGCTTGACGACAGATACATTCACCTAGCCAAAATGATTCTCTTGATACTTTATCTTATTTGTCCATTCAAGAAAAAAAAAATGCCTTTAATTTTTGGCAATTAGTTGAGTAAAAGGTTTTTTTTTTAAATTTTTTTTTTTTACTAACAATAACTAATTGAGCACCCTTTGCCAGATTGTACTACAGTAATTTGTAACTAAACTTTGAATGTTGTAATCTATACTTTATACCCACTAACATTAAAAAAAATAATTTGTTGAAGCTTTGTATTTTGTTAACTAAATAATTTAAAAAAAAATTAGTTGATAAAATATCAGTTAGGGTACTAACAAAAGTATAGAAACAACCGAAGCAATTATTTCTAGAAGATTAGCTAGTGATAACAATCATCTCATACTGGAGCAGAAACAAAGAGGTTGGGTACCTCAAAGTTGCTTCCCCTAAAGTAGTCACAGCAAGTTTAGTCACTCTGTCTCATCAATTCCAATAACTCTACTTAACCAAGTTTGATAACTCTTGTCTAGACAAATTTTGGTCGCTTTTACTTTTACTAAGAAAATTTAATTTTTAATTTGCGTTTTTTTTAAATTAATAGTGAAAATTTTTTTTCCAGAGGAAGTGAACTACTTTTGGTACAGAGCATGTGACTTGCTTTAACTACTGACCAATGAGCAAGACTGTTACAAACCTTCTTGTCACCACCGCCAGGAACATGGGCTGCATTGTCTAAAGACCCAATTTTAGGTTTTGCATTCCATTCAAGTTTCTTTGTCTCAATCTTAAAGCAGCGAATGATGAATGGATGGTAGGGTAAATGAGAAAATGGGAAATAAAAAGGAAAAAAAGAATAAAATATAAATGATATTTAGCAAAAATGCAGAAAGCTAAGCTTGTCAGCTAACTATAACAAAAAAATGAAAAAAAAAAAAAAAAACCAGTTAAAAAATAGACTCAAGACAATTAGTCACACACCCCTAGTTCTATCACACACACATTTATTAGTTTTGAAAACCATAAGTGTTAGTTGTGATCTGAAAAGTTTAATGACACTGACAGACAAATTTAAAAGTGAAGAAATTCAGGTGAAGGAATTAAGATTCCAGGGGAGAAATCAACAAGTTTAAAAGTGATAAAGAAAATTGTGATTATCATAAGTGTTAGTTGTGATCCGTAAAGTTTAATGATAGAGACAAATTTAAAAGTGAAGAAATAAAGTATTCAGGTGAAGGAATTAAGATTCCAAGGTGAGAAAACAAGTTTAAAAGTGATAACGAAAACCTAGACCTTTGACAAACAAGAGAATAAAAATGTAGTGGTAGTTGGGACACAAACACAGCTGAACTAGAGGGAGGTACCAGTTACAACAACTTTTTGTGGTTAGAAACAAAAATAAGTTAAAGTGCAAATAAAGTAAATGTTAGTAACACTCTGTTTTCAAATAAAAGTTCTGATAAAATGCACTAATTCTAAATTTCAAAACTGTTTAAAAGAACATTACTAATGATTCTTATGAAAGGAGTTTTAATTTTCTTATTGTGGTTTTAATTATAACTTCTATTTTAGAGAATGCAATTCCTTATGACAAAAAACACTGAGTAGACAGATATTTTAATTCAATAATGGCTGGCTGAGTAGTTCAGTGAGCAAGCATTCAACTCAAGGAATGCCACAAAAATAAGTGGGAGTTACCTCCCCTCCCCTGCAATTACCAGAATTGTCAAATGTTTCTTCCACTCATTCATAACCTTTTCACATTAATGTCAGAACATTTCTCTTAGGAATAAAAATGGATTTCTTTTATGCAGTTGTCTGAACAAGTGCTTAAGGAGTCTTGAACTAAATTTGGTTACTGCTAAACAATTTTGTGCAGTGCTGGATCTTATCTTTAGATAAGGAAATCCCACTGGTGTATTCAACATTTGATTAGAAGATATGTTGACATACCCTCGATAATTTAAAATGTCTAGGACATAGCCTGGTTACATATGGAGCTGAACATAGGGTCAGATTAAAGGGTTTTACCCGGGATTAATTTAAACCAGTTCTCTTTGGTAAAGTCCTTGCTTGGTTGCTTTCATTAGAATTTTTAAAAAGTCAAATTATTCAATTTTAAATAGGAAAAAACTAATTCAACTATCTACATGACTTTCAGCTGACAAGACAAGACTTTTTAATTGCAAATTTACACATTTTTTTGAGTCTGTCCAGGTATATGTTTTAAAACTTCAAAACTCTTTAACTCATGCTACTGATATCTTTACCACTGATTCAAAGACAATGATTTTATTTCCTATTTTGATTAGTCCACACAGTCAAAAAGTAATTAGTTTAAAGTTTTACATTACTATCAATAATTTTTTTTCCACACTACACTACATATCTATTGTAATATTTATATGAAAGTAATAGTTAGCAACATAGTTGAGTCCCATTGAGAACACCCTAAATAAGATAAATAGACTTAATCCACCCTTAACATTGAATAACCCAGTACATTCATTCATTAAGTATTCAGCTTTTGATTCTGACACCTCAGGGTCATGTCAAAAGTTAATCCGTGAACAGGAGGATTAACCTGAAGGGCCCTTGGTTGCTCTTAGTCTATTTATTGCCTATCTAACTCTGTGTGTGTAGGTATTTGTATAAATATGTATGTGACACGTGTACATATATATACATAAACACTACCCAGATGAAAGGTTAGCAAATATGTTCACTATGATCTAAAATTACATTCAGATATTGATTTTTAAGAGTATTAAGTACAATATGGAAAATATGTAAATATTCCAGTACATGAAGAAATGAATGGTGGCTACACAATATGCAATAATGAGTACATTTAGAGCTACACAGTGAAGCAACATTTAGAGCAAGGCCACTTGGCAGCGTAAAGCAGTGCTAATCAGTGGAATGTCTGTAGACCTGCTCAATATCTATTTCACAGGTATTTGGAATTCCTAGCCATAACGTGTAAGCCTCAGGTTCTTAAAGCATGCTTGAAAAAAAAAATTACTCTCTTTGGGTGAGGAATGTTTCCTCTGTATTTCTTAAAAAACAAATATAGAAAATGTGCTTCTGATTGTTGATGAGATTGTACAAAGAAATTTGGTCCTCTTCCAACTATAGAGGAAATAGTTAACAGCTCTTCCCGTGACTCCAATATACAGGCCATTTATTTAGTGCACAGGTAATCGTGCATTTAGTCTAATCACAGTAATAATTATATTAAATTCTCTTATCTAAAGTTATATTCTAGAAGCTGCCAAGAAATGCATGTCTTAGGGGGCTTTTTAAATGACTTATACAGTCTTGACGTATTTTAAAAGTTTTATTAAAAGTGAATATGTGCTGCAGCGCAGTTAAGAAAGAACAACTGCTGCTAAGTGGCATCGGCTCAAAGTTATTGATTAAAACATTTATTGCAGAAAAGGTGAACAAAATGAAAGCAGCTACTGAGTTTTAAAGACTAGCTGTAACAATGTGAAGGTCGTCTAGACTACAAAGAGGATCAGGTTACGTCTGTATCACCAGCATCAATAAAAATAACAGCACCTCCGCTGCTAGTTTTATCATACCTTTTTGTCCCCACCGCCTGCTATATGCTTGGCGTTATCAAGAGAGCCAATTTTAGACTCAACTTTCCACTCAAGCTTCTTCGTCTCAATCTACAGGAAAAAACTTAGAAAAAAAATAGCAACCAAAAAGCCAAGCAAGGAGGAACCAGCTCGAGAAGAAAAAGCAAGTTTTTAAAAAACATATCCAGTGAGTTTTGAAGACAACAGAACAAAGTTAAAAAATTAGTAGGGGTTTTTAAAGAATGGCAACAAAAAAGTTGTTAAATTTGAAATAATTTTTTTGTGGGCTTTAACTCTTTAAGACTGGAATGAGGCTCCCGTCATTTGGTCTATTAGCTTGAGGTATTGTACTGATGCTCCAAGCTTTAGAAGATATTATATATACATATACTTTGTTGTTTTACAAAATCCAAGTTTTTACTGTAGGTCACTATATCACTACAGTAGCCATTTGCAGTTTTGTTTACATCTTTTTTTCTCACCAGATTTTGTAAAAAAAAATTTTTTAAGCAATCGTATATTGGCATTTTTAAAACACAACCTCTCCCTCTTTAAAAAATATTGGTCTAATACTAATCTAATCTTAAACAATTTTAGAAGAAAAAATTGACATTCTTTTATTGTTCATTTTTGCAACTAAGTATATAAAAAATCATTATTTAATATTAATTATATTGTGTAGAGTATTCTATTATGAGCACATTTTTAATTGATGAAAAAAAAATAACAGGAAAAATCTTGTGTCTTCTTGTGGTGTAGTACAAAATAAAGAAATAAACCTTTTTTTGGCAAAATGTGAAAACAATTCTGGGCTTAAAAAGTTAAAGATGACAAAATAAATTTTAGAAATTAGTCAAAGGATAACAAAAACAAAATGGTGTTAAAAAGTTAGTCCCGTGTTCTATGGCAACAAACACAAAAAAGAAATGAGTAGAAAGTAAATATGAGAGAAACAGTATGAAAGTGTAGAGAAACGGTTGTTAATATTTTTCACACTACACAAAATGTACTCACTCTATTCAAACAGAAACAAATACTATCATGAATTATCTCAACCGTACACATTTTATGCTTAATATTTTACATTTTTTGTTAAACACAATTAAAAGTAAACACAACACACATGAACACATCAAGCCACATCCTTAAATAAAAAATAAATTTACATAAATTTAAGCTCATTTCAGCCTTGCATATTCCACACACTGTACTAAATCATATTTCACACAATATTTGTATCAAACAAATTTTATACTCATCATTAATTAAAAATAAATATTTAAATACAACTTCATGAAAAACAATTTTTTTTTTCAAAATGGGAATATGAGATGATGTACTTCAGGGTACTCGGGCTGTGAATGTTTCATGCATATGAGGATGACATTCACTATGTCAGGTATCAAGGGTGATGTGAGTCTTCTACATGCCGCAATGTCCGTGGCATACAGTATTTTGTGAGAAAATGTTTTTAAACTACAAACCTCAAATCCCAATTAAAATGGTTAGTTCACATCTAGTCAGAAAACTAGGTTTTTTAAAGTGCAGGTTCACATCTAAGAAAGATGGCTAAGTGTTTTTTTAATGACTAGTGAAACTAAGCTGAAATAATTAGGTGTAGTGGACACTAGAAGAAGATGCTGGACATACCTTTTTGTCTCCGCCCAAGGGTTTATGTGTGGCGTTCTCCAAAGAGCCAATTTTAGACTTGGCCTCAACTTTCAACTTTTTAGTTTCAATTTTTACATTGCCACCACCTGAAGCAAGATTTTTAAAAATTAGAACTTTTTGTAAACACAAGGTTATTGGCAATAATATAATTACAGTTCAGAAAAGCCCCTAAATGTTGGACATACCCTTAGAAGAGAAGAAGATATTATAAACAAAACTATGGGGTGGAATCCCCAGGGAAGAGTGAAAATGGGATGGCCTAAGAGATCACGTAGAAGATCAGTAGAAGAGGAGGCAAAGGCCGCTGGGCCAACGTGGGTGGATATAAGGAGAGCTGCCCAAAACCAAATCTGGTGGAGAGGTGTTATTGCAGACCTATGCTACCCAAGGGCCACGAAGGATTACGTCAAAGTCAGTTCAGAAAACTTCAGTGTACATTCACCCTAACCCCTTAATCACACTTTGCTAGACACATTTTTCACATGTCGACAAAAAAGAGAAAAATCCTTTTAGTATAAAAAGAACGTTTTTTTCATTAATAAAAATGCTGAAAGGGCCTTGAAGTTAGCTATGTTTTAAAAAAAAAAACAATTGCAGCGAATGACTAAAAGCTAGGTAGACTTCCTAGCTTTGATTTTAAAAATGCTAAAAATAGCGCAATTTTAGCTTAGTTTGCTCAATACCTGGTTTATGGTCCATTTTATCTTTTGACCCAATTTTGCTGGTGACATTTGACAAGTCAGGTTTCTTGTGAATAATTTTCACCTGGGGAACACATTAAATCATGTTGCAGATCATTCTGACAGAATATAAATCAATACAAAAAAATGTTGGATTATCTTAACATCTCTATTACATGCAGAGGAAAAGAACTATTTAAATGAACTGCAGTTGAAATAAGCATCACTTATTGTTTAGATTGGTTTTGTAAAAATGCATGTTCATTTTCAGATGTTTTGGTTTAGGAATTGATATTAGCAATTAGTCTAGCTAGGATCATGCAATTATTTTCTGTGACCATTGTTTATGGTAAAAGGGTTACATTTCCATGACTGTTGAGTTTGGTCCAGTGCTTACATCTCCATGACTGTTAACAAGAAACACGTGTGTTTACATTTTTGTCTATAATTTTTTGGAATAAAATAGTTACATTTTTTGTAGACTAATCAGTCAAGGGCATAGTTTTCTGTTTTTCTTTAATATAGCCAAGTACCCAGCTCCACTAGTCTCTCTAACCAGCAAAAACTTGTGCGCAAATATTTGGTGCGCAAATATTTGGTGCGCACTTTTTGTTCAACAACCAGTAAAATGTTTATTGTATTCTACACCATGACTGTGCAGCAGGTTGACAATTACTACATGGCAGATTGATTACACACCTTAGAGGGAATACCAACCTATTATTACAAGGACCCTGCACTTACATTTCCCCCTCCTGGGGTGTGGTTTGCCTTATCAAGTGAACCAATCTTTGACTTGACCTCCCCACTCTTGGGTGTAGTTGCAGATGGTGTTCTGGGTGATGCTGTTTTTGTTGGGGATTTTGGTGCTGAGAAGTTAGAAAAAGGTTTAAAAAAATTAGTTTAAAATAAACGTGATAAAAATTAAATCTTGTTAAATATAAGTATGTCTAAAATTTGTGAGTGGACAAGTATGTAAAAAAAAAGCAACGATCAAAATCAAACATTGTTATTTGGTTCTAAATAAACCATTCATTGTAAAAATTATTTTAAAAAAAAGTGCCTAATACAAAATATTCAAGATTAAAACTGTATGATGGAAATGTAAGTAAATTTAGTACAATTTAAATCTAAACAAAGAAATGATAAGACTGCAACTTCATAAAGGATAATACAATATACAATTTTACAGCGGGATGTATGCTGTCAAATTAACAGAGAAAACAAACAAGTTTTTAATTTATGAATGGCTCATAACAATTTGACACGTAATAATTGTGATGAAGGGAATCCCTTTCAACACTAGAATTAAGAACAAAGAAAAAAGAAGAAGAAAGAATGAGTTCACAAAGTTGAAAATTTTAATTTTGAAGTTATGACACAAGAGGCATCATGCAGGATAATGCAAGTTACATTTACTTTAAATTTTTGCATAACTCAGGTTTCAAGCCAAATTAAACCCCCTGACCAACTTCAGTCAATGAGGCTTGACCACATATGGCTACAGTCTAGTCATTTAATCTTTTAAATATTCAAAAACTTGCTGAGTCTGTTAAAACTGACCTGATAGATAGGTAGCTTATCATACCTTTCAATCTTTTAATTGCTACAAATGCATATTATATTAGAGTATATCTAAATTAAAATTTCCACTTCACTCCAATAATTTATTCTAAACAAATATGATATGCTATAATATGAGTATTGCATGACGGTATAGCATTTGAGAAGTAAAGTAGAACAATTTGAATAGTTTTATACTAACTTGCTGGGGTAGAGGGCTTGGATGCTGTGGCTGTAGATGTGGCCTTTATTTCCTTTTTCTCTGTTACTGGCTTCACACCATTTTTCAAATCAGCTGGCTTTTTCTACAAGTAGAAAGAACATAATATTTAAAAAAAAAAATCATTTTAAAGAGGAATCTTTTAATCTGGTATTAATTGTGAGATAACTATAACTATGCCTACATTTGTGGATGAAATACCAATTGAAAATCATGAACTAATTTTTAATATGTAGGTTTATAGGGAAACGTTGAACACTAGCAAATAATCAACATGTGTGTTGATATATACACATTGACAAGTCTTTTGGTGTATTCACACCATTTTGTCTATTGTGTGTAGACACATTACAACAAAAAAAAAAATAAGGTTAACACCATGATTTGTTTGTAGTTAAAATATGGGTCAGACACATTCTTGTAAACACAAGCGATTTCTCCCTCCATTCTATTTCCAAAGATAGAGTCAACATGAAAATAAAGAAATATCTTAACACCAAGAATACTTGATTCACACAGTACAATGTGATTGGGGTCCATGCTGATTAGTAATTTTAATGCTAGAAAATAGGTTTCAGTGGGACACATTTTGAGTCAATAAAGGCTGCACTAGCCCTATATGCAAGGCTACACTACTCCTACTTGTAAAGCTACACCTGCCCAACTTGAATGGCTACAGTAGCCCCACTTGTAAAGCTACACATTAGCCCTACTCATGAGGCTAAAGTAGCCCTACTAGTAAAGCTCCACTAGCCCTACCTGTAAAGCAATACTAGCCCTACCTGTATGGCTAAAGTAGCCCTACTTGAATGACTACACTAGCTCTACTTGAATGACTACACTAGCCCTACTTGAATGACTACACTAGCCCTACTTGAATGACTACACTAGCCCTACTTGAATGACTACATTAGCCCTACTTGAATGACTACACTAGCCCTACATGAATGGCTACACTAGCTCTACTTGAATGACTACATTAGCCCTACTTGAATGACTACACTAGCCCTACATGAATGGCTACACTAGCTCTACTTGAATGACTACATTAGCACTACTTGGAAGACCAAACGTGTATACAACAAGAACGGTGCCTGTCATGTTGACAGCTGATACAACAACAGATAAGAAACTATTAATCACAACTGACAGCACCGTGGTTTTATGGCCTGGGGAATGAAAGACAACGTCCAGTGGCAAAATGTTAATTTTCTATTCCTGTCAAGCAGGCTTACACAAGAAAGGATAAAACTAATGACACTTGAGATGAAAATTGAGCAGACATGTTGATTTAAAGATAAGACTATCTTTTCTGGGTATGGCTTCAGCATAGTTTGGCTGCACATCTATAAAAAAATGTTTTTTTTTCTTCAATATTCATTCCATTATAGTTTTTAAAAGAGTGGTCTCTTGTATGTTATGATAAGAGATCTCGAACAACCTTGGAGTAAACAGCCAAGTAATTACTTAAGCCCAACAAAAATGGAACCACACAAAAATTAAAATCATAAGTTCTGATATTTCAAATTGTAAAAAAATAAAAAATAAAAAATAAAAAAAAATAAACAACTTAAGTTTATTAAGTTTAATATCCATTTGTTTCTTATTACAAAAGTCTTATAAAGATCCACTAAATAAAACAAAGCATCACCTCAACACAGAGAGAAATGGAGATACAGGTTGACAACCCTGGCTTAGACTGAGTTGTCATTAATTAATTAAACGACCAGGTAACACACTGGACACCAGGTATCAATCACAGTCATACTTGACCTTTCAGACCATTGTTAACTGTGTCATGTACTGGACTTCTCAAGGTCAAAACTCAAAATGCTAAACAATAAAAAAAAAGCAAACAAGTCCATTGCACTAAAAGCAGGATAAACCTTATTGAGCTATTTTCCAAAACAAATACTTGAACAAAAAATGTGTCACTAATTAATACGGTCAGCAACTAACAGAATACATATTAGAAGAACATCTCTAGTAAACACAATGTTCAAAATAAAATTTTTCTTACACTTTCACTCATTCTGAAATGTGTGTTCAAATCCTCTCAGTTGCCAAAAACAATATGGCCTCTTAGGACTAGGTTTCAGTTTTTATACCCCGAGGGAGTAGATATCATTTTTTTAAAAACACGGTTAACGCCTTACTGAGTTGATATCAGTTTTTATACAGGACTGGTCCACTGCGAGCTAGAGCAAAACAAATCCCACCCCCCAAATTACAACAGTTCTGGTATGTACTTTACCTATGTACATACACAACCCAACAACCAGGCAATAAATCCAAAACAAGATTTCTAAGATAAAGGGGGAGAAGTAACCTCACAGTATCTAAACCTATAATAGTAGCTCTTCCTTTTTGAAGACAACTTCTGTGAACTGCAATTAGGGATCAACCTGTTTTGGAGTGTTGTTTTTTATGTATGTGCTAGTTGCTTGGACTAAAATAATTCAGGCCTTTATCTCTTTTCAAGGACACCTCTGCACATTACAACCTTTAAAAATATACCAGCTGGTTGTTGAAAAAAAAAATCACAGCAAAAAATCTAAAAATAGCATTTTGTATTGTCTACTAGTTCTATTTAAATTTCTAGTAATTATTAAGACAGCATTTATGAGTAAGATTTAACAAGATACCATTCTTTATCAACAATATATAAGCTTATGTTTGGCCTCAACTGATATGTAGATCTATATTTTACGTAATAACTAGAATGCTCACGTTTAATTTAGCCTAAGACTAATGGTTTAACTGGTAGAATTATTGTGAAAATCTCAATCAGTGATGTGAGATGACAACGGGAAAGGCCTGTAAACTTCTATAGTGTGATGCTGTATGCCAACTCTTCTGGCAAACATATTTTAGAATGTGCTAACACTGGCCCAGGGTGGTTTAAACATGCAGCAGCGTGCTCAAGCATGCCTAGATTCTAGATAGATTTAGTTTTGACATTCAGTGACTGCCTGCTCAAGGATCCTGATCTACAACGTTAAGTCTAGCACATTGTCTTCTTCAGTTAAAAAAAAAATATATGTCAAATGTGAAAACTGGTGTGCCATTTTTAATAATTTTAAATTTTATATTTACTGTAGATTAGATATAATCTAGAGTTCTAGTTGTATTTCAAATAATCGCAATGTTTCTTTTATTTAATTTGTGATAGTCAAGATCTAGATTCTAAATTAGTCAGAGGATTTTCCCGTTTTTCCGAATACATTTCATACATATTAAACAACTTTGAACAAGGTCTTAAATCAGCAATGCATTCGTTTAAGTGGCAAAGGAAACAGAATGATTGTTCGTGTAAGTAGATCTTGGCCCTGATATGATTTAACCCAACTACACTGGATGTGTGTAGCCTTGTCCTTGACCCCAAAGCCTTTCTACTGCGAGCAATGCTACAAAAACTCACTTCGTTGTTTATCACTCCAACAGCGGGAAAAAAAGTGAGTGCCGAGCGCAAGGTAAAAGTGGGTCACGACTTTAAATGAAAACAGGGTTGCCATGTTGACAAACAAGAAACCAAATGAGAGTGTGAATAGCACTTTCCGCATTACGATGCCTCTTTAAACCATTTCGCAGAAAATCCGAATTTTCAGCGAAAACGCTAAGCTTTAGTACTACATTTAACAGATGGGCTATATTCTCTATAAAAATAATATAAGTGTCCATTTAATTTCCTAAAGTGGACCCTGAATTATAATAATTTGGCATACATTTGTTTTGACCACTAACAGCTCAACAACTAAGATCAAAGAAGAGATGTTTATTTGTCAACGACTGCAGCCTCTCCCGTTCGTTCATTGGCGAGAATGATAAAGCGCAGCTGGCATTCTAGGAGTGATATAAGTTGGCTGTTGAGAAAACGAACGTTCGCCAAGTACGAGCTGTGCTAGAGGATGTCGGTGAAACTCAGACGTACTCTACACACAACGAACGCAATATTTAATTAGAAACATGCACGGGTACTGAGGGTTGTTTTGTGAGGCGCTGGTTATGCTAGTTGAGTGGAGAGTCGTAGGTAACGAAAATATTTGAACTCTAGATGGACCAGCTAAATTTGACTAAGGTGTAGGCCATTAACGGAACATTTCTACCACCCCCTCTCCAAATCGCCTCACGGCGTCACAAAGAGCCAGAACCCTCTCTTCCACCGAAAACGAAGTCACAGTTTCAGCACTTCCGCACACAATAGCTACAATTATAACGCACATTTTGATACCCCCCCCTAAAATATATATGTAACGTAACATTTCCTGATCCACCTTCCGCCATGTAGCACATCATCCATACGTATGATCTTCCATTCACCCCGATACAATTGACATCAGAGGCGTAGCGAGGGGGGGGGGGTACATATGTCCCCGCCTCTGATTGACATACTTTACGAGTAACCCTTATAGTACAAATGTTTTCTGTTTACATTTTAAAAGCACATATCACTTGTGTACCGATCTCACAGGAGCCATTTCGGCAACTAATGAGATAACTATGCTTTGTATGTTGATTTTAAAAAAATATAAGCAAACCGAAATCGACACCTAAGCTAACAAAAAAAAAATTAAAAAGAAAACGTTTCAAATATCCCTTTTAATTTGTTTTCCGCTGCTTTCAATCCAACTTTTCTTATCTTCATTTTTAACCCTATATCGCCACACTTTATCGCTTTTACAGAATGAGATAATAGATAGAAACAGCTGGGGTAGGGACGGGTTAGTGTACAACGACACACGGTTCATGTTTAATGAAGGGTACAACGACACACTGTACAGATTTAATAAAGAGTACAACGACACACGGTACATATTTTATGGCAGTCTGATCACGTACCACCAACAATCAGAGGTGTAAATGTTGCAGATAATAAAACTTTTATCAATAACTTAACACGTCTGCACACGAGACTAGACGTGTGTACTGCATGACTAATGACCAGGTGTGTCTGACCTCATGCTTAGCAAAGGGGTTCTCTGGGCATCAATGAAACATCTCAACCCACAGACGACAAGCTAACAGACGATAAAGTAGTGGGGCAGATACTTTTTGAAAGAATTTTCGAAGATACCCAGGCTTAAATATAGACCTACCATCCTTTTATTTCTTCATAGCGGTGAATTCTTTACGAAACTGTTACCTTTATCGAAAATCCTTTTTATAGTTATGTTTAGGGTTGGTTTCTAATAACAAAAGCAGATGCCAAGTGTATTATTATGGAGAAGTAGGTTAATGATTGACCAAACATCACTGATTTTTACTGCATTTTTTTTAGAGCTTTTTTCTCAGGCTTTATATGTCTTTATTTAAAAAAAAAGGAAAATAAATGACACTCGTATTAAAAAAAAACAATACTAGATCTTGACATTTCTACAATTTTCTCTACTTGAGTGTTAATCAATATTTGATGTAGGCGATACATTTTGTGCATTTTAAATTTTAAACATCCATATTAGATATAACGCTTGCATTAACATTTAGGTAGACCTAAAGGCCTATACAATCAATACGTTTTAAACAAATGCTTTAAAAAAAACCCTAAATATCTTCGGTTAATAAAAATAAAATAAAATAAGGAACATGTCAAAAATGTTCAACTAAATTCCGCATGACGAGATTTCGTGTTGAAGACGTGACCTTATTTTGGCCAACGTTTGTCGGGATAAGATTTGCTCAGGACACAGCGCGGTGAGGAAGTGTTTGCATAACAAGTGCCTGGAGCTCGTCCCTCGAGTGACTAAAGACAGAACTATTTTAGTCTCTCGCTCCCTACCTCATCCCATGCCATCCCCGCCTCCCATCAGTGATACAATTGCCTCATGTCTGCTACATGCACTATCACGTGGTATGGCTTAATCCCATCATAGCCCCATCTTTATGCCAAGGTATAAGCCAAAGCTGTAGTAAACTGTATCTTACCTCCCATCTGTTACATGCTATAGCCCCATCACTATCCCGTTGTATAGCTCAATCCCTATCCCACCATAGCCCCATCACTATACCAGGTATTTCCCCATCTCTATCCCAGGTATAGCCCCATCTCCATCCCAAGGTATAGCCCCATCTCCACCCCAAGGTATAATAGCCCATCTCCACCCCAAGGTATAGCCCCATCTCCACCCCAAGGTATAGCCCCATCTCCATCCCAAGGTATAGCCCCATCTCCACCCCAAGGTATGACCCAAAACCTGTAACAAACCTTAACTCACCATCTTTGATATAGCCCCCCCCCCCTACATACTTTTAACTACTAAACTCCGATACCCCCCCCCCCCCCCCCACCATTTTAAGCAGTTCCACCATCGAACCGTGGATGTGAACTGCACGTCTTTTAATACCACGAAAACACAAAGAGCAGATAAGACAATTCTAAGACAGGTGGAGCCAGTACCTAAACTATATGAGCAAAGAGATAAATCACGAGTAAAACATACAACAGACGATAATACACCTAAAACATAAGTAGACCAGAAAAAAAAAACACTCATAAAAGGTCTAACATCCGAAGACAGGCTCTAAAATAAAATAGCTTTTGAACAAAGACGTCATATACTAAAACAATGAGTGGATGAACTCGTGTCTAGATAATAAGCAGAAGAAAGTGTTTAAAAATGCATACGCTTTGTAAGACGTCATATACTTTAACAATGAGCAGATGAACTTGGGTCTAGATAATAAGCAGAGGAAAGTGTCTAAAAATGCACACGCTTTGTAGATCTTGACACTTAAATAGAAAAATAAAAGTAAGCGCCTCAGGAAAAAAAAACTCGCCTGTGACAAAACCAACACTTGAAGCGTTTAGTCGGGAGAGGTAATGTGACCCGGCTAAAAATAGGTCGGAAAACATTGCGTGTGCATGTCACCCACTACCTAACATAAGCTAGAGGAGCATCTCTTCACACCTGAGTAACCAAACACCTCAGTTTTACATCTTATTCAAACGCTGCATTTTTTTTTTTAAAACTGAACCTTAGACTGACTAATCTGTTTCTTACAAAAAAAAAAAAAAAAAAAAAAAAAAAAACACTTAAGATACGAAACAATGAAAAGTAAAAAAAAAAACGGGAAGCTTCACAATAAAACCTATCCATGTTTACTAAAACAAAGCACAGGGAATGTGTCTAAAAATAGCAACTGATTAGGCCTAATGCATTGTGCAAACTGTTACCGAGGTCATTTTTTAAAGTCAACCTAAAAAAAAAATAATTGTGAATTCTTATCAACCGTCTCATCATTTAACTCGAATGTTAAGCTGTTTATCTACAATCTACAACTAGAACTTTAAGCTTGACGAAACATAAATACACCAGAGAGATAATCCTTTTCAACTTTTTTTTTTGTAATGTGTGAAACCAGTTATGCTAAACAGGTACTCTAGTAACATTACCCAAGACTACACACATACACTGCTGGATACAATTTACTTTTCATACAAGATGTCAACCTTCACAGATAGGTTAAAGTGTTTTACCTGTAACCTAGGCAACTTGTTCCATGAAATGACTGAACATGTTGCCTTATACCTAGACAACTTATATATATATATATATTCCCTGAACATCTTTTTTGATAACTTCAACTTATTCACTGAACAAGTTTCCTGATACCTTGTAGAACATATTCTAACAACAGAGTCTAACAACAATTGATTTGTTTAGGGCTACTTTTACTGAACTTTGAAGTTTTAAGGCTATGATGCCAGATGGCAATACATTATCAGTAGGACAATACAGTATCACTAGGGTAGGGTCATACAGTATCAGAAGGACAATACAGTATTAGTAGAGCCTTTAAAGACAGTAAAGTATCAGTTGAACAGTTGAACTTTGAAGTTTTAAGGCTATGATGCCAGATGGCAATACATTATCAGTAGGACAATACAGTATCACTAGGGTAGGGTCATACAGTATCAGAAGGACAATACAGTATTAGTAGAGCCTTTACACGACAGTAAAGTATCAGTTGAACAGTTAAACTTTGAGGTTTTAAGGCTATGATGCCAGATGGCAATACATTATCAGTAGGACAGTAAAGTATTAATAGGACAATACATTATCAGTAGGACAATACAGTATCAGTAGGACAATACAGTATCAGTAGAGCAATAAAATATCAGTAGGACAATACAGTACTAGTAGGGCCATACACTTCATACATTATCAGTAGGACAATACAGTATCAATAGGACAATACAATATCAGTAGGACAATACAGTATCAGCAGGACAATACAATATCAGTAGAACAATAAAATATCAGTAGGACAATACAATATCAGTAGGACAATACAATATCAGTAGAACAATACATTACACTGAATAGAGGACAATAAACTGTGAATCAATACAGTGTTGTATTGAGGTTTTATTCTCTGCTGGTATAGCAGCTATGGGACCAGCAAAATATACTTGATATGGGCCAGCGATCATAGAAGTATTTATGAAAACAGGTTGAACTGAAATTTTAAGCTATGATTGAATGATATAGAAGGTAAGCTACTCACAGTGGGGGATTTATGAGTATCCGCAGTAGTTCCATTGGTACCTGTTTGAGGAAACGCAATTGGATATTTTACTAAACATTAAAGTATTATCACTAGTACACACATGTATTATAAAAAAACAAATAACAGCAACATTATTTTTCTTTGAATTATCATAAAATAAAAAGATAAAAATCCAGACATACAAATATAATTTTGTATAGGCCTATATATAAAATAGAAAAGAATTCTTATTAAAAGGGCCTACATAATACTAGTTAAAAGGCCTAAATAGCAAGCATATGATGGACAGGATATGCCAAGTAAACAACCCTACTAGTTTGAATGTTTGGGAGTGGAAAGTTATGAAATATTTGTTTTGGTACTTACACCTCTAAAAAACTGACAGCTTTGACACACTATACCTGGCTACAGTACACGAGCAATTACTTGCTAATTAAAATTTTTTTTTTTACCTTTAGTTTACTTTTAAAAAATATAACTAATATCTATACCAATTTTGCTTTCACACTTTTTGTCACTGCACCAGTGCATCTCTCTCGCAGGGGAAACCAAAATATAACTTGGAATAAGTGCTTTTCAGATTGGAAACTATTAAAACCACCTACCCTTATATGCTGTAAACTAAATGATAACTAGACCATTTATTATAAATTCAACACTAGACAACTGAACATAACATTTTTTAAAATATATATTGCAATATATAAGGAAATGACTAAAACCAATTTCATATCTCAACTTCAAATTAATTTGAAGCTAGGTTGACTCAAGTAATGGGGCACTGTGGTCAGACAGTAGAGTGCATTACTGCTTACTTCAAAATCCAGAGTTTAAATGCCAGATTTGAGTCCGTAAGACATCCTTAAGTCCGCCCAGCTCTTATGGACACCTGACCCATGTTAGAGAAAGTAAAGGAGGCTGGGCATAGAACAGACCACATTATCCCATTTTAGGTGGACTCGGAAATATAAGTATTCAGGTTATCAGTTTTTGAACAGTTATTTAACTTTGGTATAAATGATACAAATCTTGCTATTGTAAAAATGTGAAATAGACTAGCTCTCAGTACAGTTGAATTTAAAGCACGTGCAGTTAAATAAAAATTTGCAAGAAGCAAAATAAACCAAAAGAAAACAAATAAAATAAACTTGATAAACAAGTCTCCTTGCTGATTAAATCAAGAAAAGAGTGAATGCGCTTGTAATTCAAAATTATGGATTTCAAAAGAATTATGCAGTCAGCAGTTTCTCTCATTTACCAACAGCTGGTAGTTCTGGTAAAACTTTAACCCACTCATACAAACAGCCGTACAGTTGTGTAGCTGATACTTTAACCCACTCATACAAACAGCCGTACAGTTGTGTAGCTGATACTTTAACCCAATCATACAAACAGCTGAACTGTTGGTTATACTTCATTCTTAATAAATTAAAAAGCTAGTGATAAAAAAATGTCCTATGGTATTAGTCCTATACCATTATTTGATAAAAGTAATTTTATTCACCGATTTATTTCTATGATACAGAACTTTTCCTGCAGGTATCACTACTAGTATTACGTTTCAACCATAACTGATGTTACACCTGGGACGAGAGGGTTTTGTATCCAATGCCGTATGACAAAAGCGTATTCTCAAGAAAGTACTATGTCACAGTTTAGCATTTCAAGAAGTTATTTTCTTTTACTTTTAAAAGTCTAATTTAGGCAGTAATCTGCATATAAAAAAAGACTGGTTAAAAATATTGAAATATAAATTTATCAGTACAATAATTTTGAAAAACAAAATTGTGGGAGAAGTGGTAGTTTGAAGCATGAAATAAAGAAACTCCACTGGGTATATACTATATGGTGAACAGAATAGTATTAGTTTTCAATTAATTAATAGGTTACATATTAAATCAAATATGTTTTACATTCAGCACTGTTTATACATGTATAATAGTATCAATCTTTTATGATTTATTTTATCAAATATTAAAAAAATTTTTTAGCATCTAAAACCAAAATATGTCTTGTGCAATCATACATCCATTTATCTTTTCTAAGCCCAAAAGAGAGCAATAAGAATGTTTCAAAAGTTAACATAAGACTTACAACTAGGATAGTTAAGTGAGAGCTATGTTTAGAATTTTTCGAGAATATTTTTCAGTATTATTTTTTATTGGCCTAAAATATTATGGTATATAATTTATATTATTTTCTGCTATAGGCCCTAGGCCTATATTTTTAAAATGTCAGGCATTTTCTTTTATTTGAACATCTAGTGGTTGTTTTCTATCATTAGTGCCTTTCCTCCTAAATAATCCTACTGTTATTGTTAATAACACTTGAACCTTAAGGGTTCAACCTGAAGTATCATTATCTGCAATACTTGTGATTCAATTATCATTATGTGGCTACTATAAAAAGCATTGTACCTTTAAAACGTAAACAAAGAGGGCTTATTCTCTAGTGTTTAGTATAATTTAAAAATAAATAAAAATGCTTACCATTAGTAAGTTTGGTGGGTGAAGATTTAGGACGCGCCAGCTGAGCTGTTCTGCTTGATGCAACAGTGGCAGACGTCGTTCTGACTGTTGTTTTAGTGATGGTGCTAGTGGTAGTAGTAGCACTTGCTGTAGTAGCAGAATGAGGTTTAGGGGTCCTGGGTGTGGCTGAGGGTGTTCTGGGTGTGGGGGCTTTCTTCTCGTCTGGACTTGCAGGTTTGGGCTCTCTGGGTTTTCTAGGCGTGATTGGTTGCGCATACGATGGCATAGGTCCAGAGGGTTTAGGCGCAGCTGGGGCTGCTGTCTTGGTTGGAGACGCTGATGAAGGTTTCGCAGATGTCTTCCTTTCAGTTGTACTGGCAGAAGTTGGTTTGGCTTCTGCAGGTTTCTTTGGTGCTGTTTTTGTAGTAGTTGTAGTAGTGACTTCGGTTTTTTTCACACTCGCTGGTCTACCATTGGCTGTGGTAGTTTTGGTCTCCTTAACTTTAGTTGTTGTTGTTGTTGCTGTTTTAGTACCAGCCTTGGCTGGTGTGGATTTCTTTACCGTTGTTTTTGTAGTGGTGGCTGTAGCCGCAGCAGCTGCTGCAGCAACTACACCAGCTGCGGCCGGGGCAGCGGCAGCCGCAAGAGCATCATCAGTTTTGGAGGGTGGTGGTGGTGGCTCATCTACGGAAGATGACGGCTCTTCCGCCTTTTCTGGGACTGGTTCTGATACTTGTAAGCTCTGTAAAGCTTCTTCTAAGTTTCGCTGAGCTTCACCTTCATCTGGGGTGCTGCTAATTCCAACAGCGTCAATGCTGCTTTCACCATGCTCTTCCACCTCCGGCTCCTCATGCTCTGCTTCTGGAGGAGCAGCATGGACACTTGATTGAAAATCTTGAACAAAAGAATCAATACCAGCCTTATCCACAGAGGAATCCACAGAGCTGTGTTCGGTAACGGGAGTTTGAAGACCCTGAGCTACAACTGGGGTGTCGAGGAGGGAGTCCTGACCCTCACTGACATTAGGAGGGGCAGCGGAAACATTATCCTGGCTTGTGGATGTAAACTCATCCTCATGAGCCTCAAATGCATCTGTACTTGGTTGTTGAAATGCATCCTGACTTGGCTGAGGGGGGAACCCATTTTGAATGTGTTGATTTAGTTCGTAACTATGCTGGTCGTAACTGTCTTCATCTGTGTAGTGTTGGTGTTCCTGAGCCCGCCTATCTTCTCCGCCTATGAGTTCACCCCCATCATCGTAAAAGCTACCCTCCATTGACATGGACATCAAAGCATTATCATTATTTTCCATGTTAGGTTCGAAACCCTGACCAGTACCGTACTCACCGCTTTTATCGTCAACGCTAGTTTCCGTTTCCGTCGTGCCGGTTGTAGTAAGACAACCTTGATCTAGTTGTTGTGATTCCTCCTCTGTTTCTTCCTCTTCGTCTTCTGAATTTAAAAACGCACTATTCCTAGAAGATGTTGATGTAATCGCTGTACCATCAACACCGAACTTCGTTTCACCTTCTACCTCGCCGTCCGTTAAGAAATCACCTGTGTTATTCTCATCCACTGTCGCTTCGTGTTGAATCGTCTCACCGTGTTGACCTAGATTATCATGACAAGGAGACGGGGAATCGGAGGGGGCGGTGGGGTCAAAGGGTGACATGTCTCTAGGTTCAGGCGGGGAGGGCAGAGGTTGCGGGATGGTGTCAGGGGAAGTAAGTTCTGAAAGATTATCAACAAAACTACGGTCCTCTTGCTGACATGACATTGTGTCTGAATCGGTAAAACGAGATTCAAAACCTTTTTCTACAGACTGCATTTTCTCTTGTTTAAACTCTTCCTCGTCTTCTGATAAATTATTAGGCGAGTAGTCTCCCTTTGTATCAAACTGTTGTGAAGTACCGGTTACATCTGGTTGGTGACCTAATTCCTCCGTTATTCGTTCTTCCCGTGATTCATGTGTTTCTTTTGTATATTCATCATCGCCTACATCTTCATCCCCTATCTCATCTTCATGGTCTGAGTAGGTGGCGTTGTTAGCGGATTCTACGCCAGCAACAGTTTTGGCTGTAGTAATCTCCTCTTCAAACTGTTCCTCTTTAAATTTGTCTGTGTCGTCTTCTTTCAACTCCCGCTCTTCACTTTCATCTTCCTCTATCACTCTCTTATCTTCTAACTCGGCGTCGTCTGAAAAAGCTTGGTTGACGATTCCCAAATCTTCATCCTTGCCCTGTTTGGGTGTTTGTTCGTATTCTCTTTCATAATCGTGGTCCTCTTCTTCACCAGCGTATTGTTCTGGCAACTGCTCATCTTGAGAAGCTGCGCCGTGATCTTCTTCATCGCCGCCATATTGCTCGTCACCTTGCTCGGCTTGTCCGGCATCGTCAACGGCAGGACCAAAAAGTTGACATTTGACAACTTCCGGTTTGTACACAGGATTCTCCTCAGCATCTTCTCTGTTTTCTTGTTCTTCTGTTTCTTCATGGCTTGCTTCGTCGCCGTAAAGTTTACAACCAACGGCTTCAATTTTGTGATCCGGCTCATCGTGTTCATCATTGCCGGCATCCATAGGATGCTCAGCCTCTGCTTCATCAACAGCTGGTCCAAACAGCTGACATTTGACAATTTCAGGTTTGTATGCAGGTCTCTCGTCAGGGTCATTTGCATCATCATCTTTGTTATCTTCTGGTTCTTTTTCTTGGATTGTTTCATCATCGTATGACTGGTCTCCCTGTTCAGCTTGTTCTGCCTCATCATCAGCAGGTCCAAAAAGCTGACACTTGACAATTTCAGGTTTATATTCAGGTTTGTCGTCAGCGTCATTTGGACTTTCTTGTTCTTCTATTTCCTCTTCATGACTGGGCTCCTTTTGTGTCGGACCGCCATAGATGCTGCACCCGATAGCTTTGTACTCGCCATCATACCTGATAATCTCAGCTTGATGCTCACTCCCAGCACCCTCGCCAAAATCAGCTGGGGCGTGGTCTTCTTCAGGTTCCTCTTCATACTGAGGCTGTTCTCCCTGTGCAGGCTGTTCCCCGTACAGTTTACACCCAACAGCCTCAAACTTGACAGGCTGTTCACTGTCGTCGTAATTGTAAGACTCCCTGCTCTGTGGTTCCTCTTCCAGGTCATGTTGACCCCGTTCATCGTCTTGGTAACCGTATTCCCCAGACTCCCCTTCCCGCTCGTCATCTCTAAACCTTGCGGCTATCTGCCTGGGGTCTTCGTGACTCATAAAGTCTCCCACTTCTGGTTCCTGGTGCCTGTAATCGCCCTGGTTGTCTTGGATGTTCTCCACTGGATCCATATCCAGATCCGCGTCCTCCACTTCCTCATCCAACCTGCCGTATCCGGTCATCCTGGTTTCGTTTTCTTTATTAAAATCACCAGCGTCCCCGCCGTCTTCAAACCGACCTTGACCCCCAGCTCCGCGGTCGTCGTTCAAGAACGGGTTGTACCCCATGATGGGGCGGTCGTCACTGGCGTTGTACGACCCGGCCGGGACGTCTTGGCTGCCGTCGTCCGTGAACGGGTTCGACCCGTTGGCGTGGTCGATGACGTCATCCGAATCGTGTCCGTAATCGTCTGAAACGTGTTGCTTAGCAAAGTTCGCCGGGAGGTCGTGGTCGCCGCCCTGGTAGCCGAAGCTGTCGGAGCCGGCAAGGTTGGCGGGCAGGTTGTCCTCGAACCCGTGGGTGGTCATCCCCGTGCCGTAGGATGGCGCGAGAGGGTCAAACTGTAGGTCTGATGCGGTGTGGTGGTCGGCTCCTAGTCTAGGATCGGCGCCTTCATCTGGGAACAATGAGAAAAACAACATGTTTGAACGTGATTCAAAAGTAAATAAAACGCGCTTTAATATAAGTATAGGCACTGTTTCTTTCAGACATTTTTTTCATTTGCTGCACTTGAAGTTCCGGGCGGGCAGGGGGGGGGGGGCACAGGTTAAAGTATGCGGTATATTATCTATATAAATTAAATACGTTTTCAATTTCGTCCCAGGCTGAGTTTCTTCCAGGCGTCTCTTCGAACGAGATGGATTTTATATAGTAAACATACACTTTTACTAGTGTTCGCCCCCCCCCCCCGAAAAATGTTGACCGCCCCCCCCGGAGAAAAAAGTCTGGAAGAAACACTGGTCCCAGGAGGAGGGGAGGGACTTTGGACATGCCCTCTAGGTGGGGAAGTGCCCACCGAAGAGATGCCTGAAAAGAACGCCAGTTAACTAGCGCCCCAGGCTTCACAAAGTTTGTTTCTATCCATCGTCTATCATGGGCATCACAATCTAACCAGAGTTTGGTTAACACGGAAATGGTCCACAATATTAACTGATAAACTTTCATTATTTCGTATTGTTTCTATCTGGATCATATGAGTGTTTAGCGTAATCTTTAAAATCCTATCTTAACCTCACTGTTACTAAATCCTAATCTCGATGTGTAAACAAAATGTGGACAGCATACACTTTCGTTTTTACATGTTTATCTTCGAATCATATTACTAGTAAGCTCCGTCCCGTCAAATAAAACCCTTCTTAGCAAAGGGCCTTAATCGATAAAATAGCGCTTGCACATTCGTCATCATTAGTTACCTTATCCTGCAAGTGTCGAGAAGTCTATTTACAAAAGCTGAATGACAAAGGAGGCAGGTAGAAAAAAAAAAGACCCACCCCACGGAGCCTGTTTTTTTTTGGGGGGGGGGGGGTAGACAGTAGAGCGCTTACTCACACCATGACGTCATAAAATATTCCTTCCTCCCCCAAAAAGTTTCAGAAATTACGCCCTGGGCCTAGAGGTGAGGCGTTTAGTACCTCCATCGTTTACCACCTTGGTTTAGTCTGTGACGTAGGTAATGAGACGTAACAAAATTTGTGCCAAAAAAAAAATAAAAAATTAGATGCTTGAAAAAGATTCATTGTGACGTCATATATAATCCCCAACCCTCCCTCCCCACCCTTAGACATCAAACAAAAATGTGTGACCTTCCCAGGTATGTTACGTCATAATAAAGACACCTCCCACCCTCCCCCAACCTTCAAAGAAGCTTATAGCTTACAACAAGAGAATCAAGAGTAGTACTAAATCACACAAAAGTACATTTATATGAATATATCCTCAAATTTATTTAGACACACACACTCACATCCCCACACACACACTCATACACACTCCCCACCTCACTAAGCCCCCCACCCATTGTCTACTAACCCACACACTTAAACGATCGATGTATTCAAGCTCACACATAAATCCCCAGCGCTAAGACAGATGTTGGCAACATATTGACCAGCAAATCTCCGTCGGTAACCGCGCTACAAACGATGATTCACGCCGAGGGGTGTTCAATGACGGGTTTATCGTGGCCCGGGTTGTACAATGGCGCTCACTAGATTTAGGTTGATAGGAAGGAAATAAATTAGTTTTTAAATTAGTTTTAAATAGACTATGTTCAACTTGAACTCATTTACAATTATGGTTTTATACTTCGTTGTGTACTTGTACTAATTGTTGAAGTGTATGTTTAATTTTCATTATTTGTAGTGTCGGTTAGTTAGGGAATTAACGATTAAGTAACTAGATCTAGTTCGGTCAGGGATATATGGGGAGAACATCAAATACATAGAAACACGTAGAGCACTTGTCATATAATAAAAAGATATAACAACTGACCAAACAAAACAACTGATTTTTTTTTACATACAATACAGAAACAACTACAACAGATGCATAACGGTTAAATAGGCTATCAATGTATCTTATAGAAATATAGTCTAGACATTCATTATGTATTGTAATTTTAATTTTGCCGCAAGAAACTTAACAAAAATTTACTCAATGCATAATGAGTACCGTACCTGTTTATTTGTAGAGGCGGTGGGGGTGGGGGGGGGGGGGAGTTATTGTGTGACAGAGGTAGAGAAAGAGAGTATGTTGAGTGTACAGAAGGGGAGGGTAGCACCGATTTTATTACAGCACAATAAACCTAACCTCAATATTGAATCTTTAATGCCTTCTATCTTTAAGAAATCAGACTCATAGTTTGGCATCGTGTTTGATAAAAATTACAATTAATTTAACGAAACAAAACCTAACCCGATTTAGGGCTGTGTAGATACATTAAGATTTGTTTTCAATAACAGAGTTAATGTAACACATGTTTTTTGTTTGTTTATAAACAAAGTTGCGAGACATTCAATATTTTGTTTTAAAATTTAGAGCCTATCTATAGTCATTTTTACCACATATTTAATTAAAATGGTCTAAAGGCAGGAAAATAGTAAAAAAATTAGCAACAGAAAGAGCAAGTAAAATCAAATGTTCAACACATAAAAATTGGAAACACCTTACCTTATTCCAATTCACAGTTAAGATAAGTCATGTAACAACACACGCAAATTTTAGAAATGAATTTAGACACGGTTTATCCCAGAAGTGACTCACAGTCTGCGAAGTACGCTCAGCAGACGATAAAGCTGTGCGTGAGTTAGGCTACGGGTTTTTTGTCCTCGCTGAATTGACCAATCGGAACTTGTCGCATTCTCGCGCCGGTGAGCGGGGCAGAACAGGGGAGGCTATGCAATTAAAAAATAGCGATTAGTTTCTTTTTTTAAAAATCACAATTATTATTAATTAGTATTATTTTTATTGCATTAAAATAGTCATTTAAATTTGTTCTAAATTTTATGTTGTATGAATTCTAATATTTGAAAGTTTAGATATAGAAAATAAAAAAAATATTTTGAATATGAGTAAGCTTAGAACAGTAAGGTTAAGGTGAACTTTCTACTTTCAGAAAGGTAAAAATATTTGAACTGGGAAAAGTGACAAAAAATGCCTTTTATTGCACCGTTAGCTCAGGTAGATAAGTTAGATCACATAGAGATGAAAGTGCGCAATAGGTTCAACTGAGGGTATGCGCGCAGTCGATAGGCTCACACATGCGCAGTGAGAGACCGCATAAAATCGTTGATGCGACGCCAATATTTTTGTTTACGTCGGTGAGGAAAAAAAAAGTTCCAGTCAATATGTGGTTATGTGAGGCTTTTGTAGGCAGTAGTGGCAGTAGAGTTTTAAGTATAAGATTACTTTGGTGATAGTGGCACTATGATCATGGGTACTGATTAATCTGACAATTGTTGAACTAGATGTATTGATCATTATGATGAAACAGGCCCAGATAATTATACACAGCCACCGGCAATAATAAAAATAAAATAAAATCAAGTCCAGTGGTATGCGGTGGGATCACCACCATGGACCAGCTAGGGACGAAGAAAGAATAATAATAATAAAAAAACATTCACAATGACAACATGGGTTCTAAATCCGCAACTGGCTTGGTCTTGCCGTTACATAGCAGTTTGCCAAAAATAGACTGTTTTGAGACTAACATAGTCTCCGTGAGTTAACGGACCGTACACCACTGCTCCAGTCGCAGATAAACCATCACTAAAGAACAAAAAGCTATAGCCCACATACCATCTTAAACAAAAGCCCATATTTCCTTAACACTGTCAACAAGAACGAAAACCCATAGCACACATACAGCCTTAAACAAAAACCCATAGCCCACATACAACCTTAAACAAAAACCCATATTTCCTTAACACCGTCAACATGAACAAAAACCCAAAGCCCGTACACAACCACGACAAAGAAAACAGAAACCTACACTTGATAATAAAAAAAATAATTCATGTTAACTTTATAACCAACCTATTCACTCTGAAACAGCGATGTTAACAAAAGTCCATTTCAATCGATCGTCCAATAATATACGTACAGATATTGATGACAAGCTTTAGTCAGCCATCTGTATTTATTAGACAGAATGGAGACTTGCCACAAAGAAAATAATTAAAAACAAGAGTATAGCGTGAAACTTGCCACAGGGTTGGAATACAAAATTGTCTTTCTGTCAAGTTTTTTTGTCAAGTCTAAAATATTTGGGCCTACACTGAGACAAAAAGTAAAGCTTGGCTTGACCAAACACAATCAGTGTTTCTTTCAGACATTTTCTCTAGAAAGGGGGGGGGGGTGGACGACTTATATTTCCGGGGGGGGGGGGGGCAGATACTGGTAGAAGTATATACTTTGTATTTTGTATACAAATTCTATCTGTTATAGATATGCCTGAAAGAAACTCTATACATAATATATAGTTAGAGATCGTTTACAATAAATATTACACAACAAAAATGAGAGATTTTCGATTAGTCCTAACCTCATCCAAAGTTGTATACGTAATAAAATTTCCTCTTAATAAACAATATATTCAACACCATATTCACAAAATTATAAACTACCCCCCCCCCCCTTTTTTTTCCAGTTATGTGCGCCATCTCTAAGTTATGAAGCATTACTCTATACCACCGTACCCCATTTCACACAACGTAATATAATGACAAACTGCATCTTCGTTATGTGCATGAACTCTATAGACTTAAAACAGCCACTTGAGCACTACATTAAATCGTCATGGTACCCATCCTAACATTGGAATCGACTTCAGGTGTTAATTAATTAAGTAATTAACTTGAGGTGGGTTTTTTTTGGAGATGACTCAACATTTGATTCTATTTTCAGCATCTTGGTATACCCGTTTCACAAATAACAAACATCTGCCCCAAAAGAAAAAAAAATCTTTGCTAAAAATAGAACAGGTAGGCGTACCTGATAAACAAATGTAAGAAAAAACAAAAAGCTGCCTAAAACAACGGTATTGTTTCGGATAGTTAGCTTGCAAAATAAAATAATATAATATTAATAAAATACAGAAATATTAAGCAAAAATAA